TTGCAGACTCATTCGTGATGTTGGGCTAATGAATAATCCAAATTTGTGACGTCGGGCGCCAAACGCGACTTTGTCAAAAATCGAAAAAACCGCGAAAAATCGGGTTTTTCTCCAATTTTTGCGATTATAACCCTAAAGGACTAATTTTTGAAACCCGGTAGTTCTGATTTTTTGCAAACTTGTTTGTGATGTTGGCCTAATGAATAATCCAATTTTTTTTCCTTTCAGTTGTTGACTTGCCGGCTGCCCATAATGTGAGTGCCGTTTGAACTCAAAATCTACAGAATGTCTGATCCCAGTCCCAGCCTGGGTTTGTGTTTCACATGTAAGAAGACTGACTTTAAGTGAAGGTCAAATGCACCTAGTGAAGGAAAGAGGTGTAAAAACCCTTCTTGGGTCGAGCATTTCCCTTAAGAACATAGAAAATCAGCGTTTTTTGGAGAGCGTAAATGAGATATATTTGCAGTGTTTATCAGATAAAATACAACAATCCAAAGTTGATGAAAGCAGCTGTTAGCAGTGGAAAATCAAATATTACGCCATCGAGGACCACGAGATCAGTCTTTTAAAAGTTCAATTTTAGAAAACACTTGTCTATGTGGAGACAAAATAACTGAAGAGTTCCTTGTGGCAGAAAAGAAGAAGAAGCTAGGTCGAAACTAAATTAATCAGAAAGACAGAATTGCAAAAAATTGCGAAGTTCGAAAAAAATTATAAACTTTGAAAGGCTTAATCTCGGAAACTATTGGGTCTACAGAGACAGTTCTAGTATCATATTGTAGCAAATTTAGTCTACTTTAAAAACTTACAAAGCAAGTTTTTCAAAAACTAGTCCTTCAGGATTTTAATCGCCAAAATTTGAAAAAACCCGATTTTTTCGCGGTTTTTTCGAACGAACTTGGATTATTTATTAATAGGTCAATATCATAAACAAGTCTACAAAAAATCAAAACTACCGGATTTGACGCATTCTGTGATGTATAAAGTTAGTGGACTAGTAATGAACACAGATATTTTTCTAACCACAGAGCGTCGATTTTAATGTTTCTCAACTTGAACCAACTCATTATTTGACCGACTTGCAAATCCATTTGATAATTATGAAAAAATAAAAAGAATACAGGATTACATCGCTGAGTGAAAGAAGATAGATTTTTTTCAAATTTTTTTCACGATCTTTTAAGAAAATTGATAAAGAAATAAAATTATAAACTACGATGTTGACGTATAGTGTAAAATATTCTTATTTGTAACACAGGGTATCGATAGTATCGATTGAGTCACGATAAATATTGATAACAGTAGTTTCACCATTTGAGTTTTATTGAGAATTTCACCAGAGTGGTTATGCTAACAAGATATCAAGTTAGTAAGGCTACCTTAATCTTCAACTCGACCTATCACACAGGCTAAACTAAATGTAAATGGTTTCATTTTCGATTTCATTTTAAATAAAGTATTCAAAATACACGTTATTGTGAGAGTTTCACAAAACAGTTTTACAAAAACGCAATACTTGCTTTGTCATACAATGGCTTCTTCGGGCCTGTCTTTACTAACTAGTTATATTCTACATATTCAATGCTTAATATACCTAATTTTATAATTAAAATTACCTACATTTCAAGTATGGCTCAAGTAAACGATATAGTGCCCCCTACCTTCCAGCAGTTCCCCTTTAATAAAATAGGTAGGGAGCTAACTAATTTTGTTATTACAGCAATACTCTCAAGGGCATACACTTTTTCAAATGTTTTTGTCTGTAAAACTTCAAGTAGTTGGTTTTTGGTATAGTTATCTTCAAAATACAAAAAGCTTTGTATTTTATCTTTCCTCGAAATTTTATTCGTTACTTTGATGAGCTGTCGCGAATGATAGGAAGCGTTGTCAAGAACTATTACACTTTTCGAATCTCAAAAATATTAACTTACATGTTCTTATGATAGTCAACATTGCAGTCCTTAAGTTTTTTCCACATAATTTCAAAGAATTCGGAACCCATCTTTTACTTCCTCCAATCACACTATTCTTCTGCTTTCCATAACTGCTTGACGTTTATTTATTATTTAAAATCTAAATCCTAGTTTCTTTATCTAATTCTGAAGAGTTTTGTCACAGCAGCTCACGTTATGACCGGAAGTATTCAATTTCTTCCTTATGATTTCAGTCGTAGAAATCTCATTGTTTTTGTAACAATCATATATTGTTTTTTTTAATGATTTTATCAGATGAACATCTAAAAGTTTTGGTAAACCCGCATCAAATAGCGTCTTGCGTTTATAAGGTTTGTTTTTGACTATTTTACGTACAGTTGAGAAAGGAATTTTGGTCAAATCTGATGTTGCTTGTAAGAGTTTTTTCCCTCGAAACCCAACTTGAGATGTAGATTCTTATATACATTGAAACATACTCTCTGTGTTTCAATATTCAAATGCATCCGAATCTTATTCACTGGTATCTTTTTCGCATTGTTCATCAGCGCCATTGGAATCACTACACAGGAATAAGTCTGTGTTGTTATCACACTCGTTATTACTATTAGTACTTGTCCAAGGACGCCACATTTTAAACAAATAACAAAAATTTTAAGTAATTATAACTTCACCGATATCGAATTTTAACACTCAAATCGCGATCAGTTCCCGAACTGAACATTGACAACACGACTCTTCTAACCATCCTCACATTCTATTGGTCACCGGCGTAACATGACTTCAAATTATATTTTATGACTCTTCAGCCAATCATAAAACTCGGTTAGTAAAAATTATCCAATACGAACCGCCAATTCCTCAGTCCAATCAAAATAATTGAAGGGGTTGCAAGGAGGGGTATTTTTCCGCGACAAAATCGAGGACCATATAGGTATCATAGAATACGCCAAATACTTTCGTTTTATGTGAAAATTTTTTGGCAAAAAAATTATCCTATCAAATTTGTCTATTTCTAGTCATGTGTGTCGAAATAACCAATGAAACCATCATTACACTGATAACTACCCATGGATAGTTTTCACGGGTAGTTATCACTTATGTCATGACATTGCTAAGCAACCAACACAATAAAGTTGTTTGACATTTCAGTAATTAAATTTATTTCGAAAATGTCACTTCCTCGCTTTGGTGTTCAAAATGATGCGGCAATTGACAAAATCATTGAAGAAAATACACCAAAAAATACTGTCAATAGTAAAAAATACACTTGGAAAATATTTATGGAGTTATATCATTATACGAATTGTTCTTTTAATAACTGTGTGTTCAATAAATAATTTTGTTCGAATTGCAAAAAATTTTCTCACCGAATATCCCTCGAACATTGATAAATAACTCATAATTTTATCACAACTTCCTCAAGCACGTTATTTTAGGTAACATCCCTCCGCCTTCGGCGTCGGGATGTTACCAAATAACGTGCTTTCGAAAACTGTGATAAAAATATTTCGTTAGTTATCAATGTCCTTAGGATATTATAGCTGAAAATATCCCCAGCAGCACAAATTTTCAAGATATGAGTTTTTCAATCAAAATGATGGAAGGAGTTACAGGGAATGTTTTTTTCCGCGACAAAACGTAAAGGTATTATTGAAACCGTTTCATGTGAAAATTTCCATAACTGGCCATGAAATTATTGTTATAAAAGACAATTTTTCATGGCTAGCAATGAATTTTAACGATCAATTGTGGCTTGGCGCACTCCTTTCCGTAGGACTGTATTTTGATTTCATGAAGGATATGTCAAGCAACTGCCAGATTTCCGATGGTATTTCGGAATTTCCGAGATGAATTCATGACTTCGGAAAGATTAATTTGGGCATTGCGGAACGAATTTAAACACGTATTGCGGAAATGAACAACCCCTTGCGCATAACATCTCAATCTTGTAACTTCATTCAACTTCAACTTTTGATTAAACAAATTCTTAAATTTTTCACCACTTTTCCACCTCATCGGACGGCCTGGAAAACTCGAAAGTGATGTTTATTTTGGTGAGTCGATCACTTGAAATAAAATTTCTCAATCTTGTCGGTGAACAAATTCAATTTAAAATTATATGTTTTTTTTTAATTTTCACCCCATTTCCACCCTCTCAGACTGCTTGAAAATCTCGGAGGTGAAGTTCATTGCATTGAATTGGTCAACAGAAATAACATATCTCAATCTTGTAGTTAGTTGAACAAAGACAATTTTTATTGATGCAAATTTTCAAAATATTTCCACTCTATTTTCATTCCTTGACACAACCTTGAAAATTAGTACATTTCACTCAGTTTGTATCGACATCTTTCATTGAAAGATGGTAAAAAGCTATACAATGGCGTTAAGCAAAAAAATAATAATTTAATATTTTTCTCTCGATGTACCTTATTTGTGAATGACAATAACTTTACACACTCCTCGCCTCCACACTAGAATACAAACTATGAATTTGTATTATTTGAGCGGTTCAATTGAAGAAAAAGTATATTTATAAGCAATTTCATATTATTATATACTATTACATTAACCTCAAAATTATCACGAGTTTCAGTAATTCTCAAAAGCATAATAAGTTGAAACAGAAGTGACACATACGTATAGTGCGATTACCTTGTTTATTTTTCATATTATCTTTTGATACAGCAACTTGTAACACCGCATACCTATCTGCATTTACTTATATAAATATACAAAACATGATGATTTTGGTTTTAAAGGTGTATGAACGTCCTTGTGCCGGCCCTGTCAGGTCATGTGACCTCTGAGCGCGACCTTCAAGTTGTATACAGTACACTCGGAATGCCTCATACCTGTCACTTGGTACTTTTTCAGCTGACTAGTGTGTGTAAGAGAGAGATAGTGATTAGGTGAATGACTGTACTCATATTAGGCTCACCTTGGGCCTATGTCACAAAATACTTTAACGTTTTCGATTAACAATAATGAGAAAATTCAAATGTAGTTCTGAATGTCAAATAATTTTGCTAGATATTTCGTCTAATCATACTAACTATTACTTACCGTTTTTGTCGCAGTTGAATACACATCCCGTTGTAATTTTAAATATTGATTGAGAAATAACAAAATGTTAGGTAATATCGGTTTTCACTTTCACGTCGTTCATTTAGTTTTACTTATTCACGGCACTCCTTGCAAGAGTTTATTGACTTCCAACACAGGTAAAACCTTGCTGATTGCTGCAACCAACTTCATTCGCTTGCACATTAATTACACACATTCATTTTCACGTACTCTTTTCCTTCACTAATCAGTAAATTAATTTTAGCATTCACAATATTCACCTTTTTTAGCAAAATTTGCCAACTTATGTTAACAAGTATTCCACTTCTTGAAAACAGACAAAAAAACAGTCCTATGAGATGAGTACACAATCATAATGTTGGTGTAAAAACAATGGAAATTGAAATTGCATAGCTGCTGACATCTAGTAGTGAAATGCTGAACAACACTGCATTGAAGAGCGTCCGCGCAATTTCAAATCACAATGAAATGACAATTCTTACTTTTCTCGAAACAACGAAATTATTTTTGTATATAGACTAAATACAGAGAAATTATCATTCTTTGAAACAAGTATTATTTTATTTCGTGTTTCAGGGTTATATAATCCAAATTATGGAAAGGAAAACTTATAGCATATTGAAAAATGCAACTTTTTATCGAAAACAGTCGTTTGAAGATTCATAGTAATTTCGAAAACTACACCTTACGATTTCATCTTCACAAACTTTATTTTCAAAAAAAAATATATCTCATGTCGTGATACATTGTTTTGAAAATGAATTTTGTGAAGATCAAATGGTAAGGTGAAGTTTTTTGAGAAAACATTTTTAATTTAATTGAATATTTCGACATGGTTATTTGGAGCTAGGAAAAAATGCCATTGTACCTCTTTTGATGAAAGTTATAAAACAAAAATGAATTTTTTTGATAACTTTTACAATTTTCAAAATACAAAATCAATTTACTCATACGGGATTTTATCATATAGGTATCAAATCATATATCAGGTTATTTGAAACCTCTAGAACAAATATTTGTGAATTTTCACATTTTTGAAAAAGTTTAAATTGCCAGACAGAAAACATCAAAAAGAAGGCAAATTTCTGAATTTTTGTTCCTTGGATTTTCGTTTAAAAAGTTAATAGGAGCTTTTAGATAGAAGTGTGGTATAAAACAATGTTTTACTATATCATTTAGTTTACTAGATTTTTGACATCTAAATTTGACAGATTTCCAAAACTATGAAAAAAACAACAGTTACGGGAAAGTTGTTATGAAGTAATATATAAAGAAGTATTTTATTCAACTTGTTGGTGACAACAAAAAAGGTCCTATAGATTTTTCCGAAATTTTGAGTTTCTAGTCACTATTATTTTCAAAATTTTCACACTTTGAAATATTTCATTAAAATGTAGAGAAAATGTGTATATAAAAATCAAAAATTAAACAATTAGTGGACACAACACTCCAAAAGTGGGGCAAACCGCGGACACGTGTTTCTGGCTATTGGCCTCATCAGCGCGGTGCAGCCAAGTGTAAAGATGGGCAACACTTGTTTGCCGAAAGCAGGAAACAACACATGTGTACGGAGCCAACAACAGGAGCCAACCGCACATTTGTGGTTCCAGTTAGAAGACCTAGAATTACCAGGCTACATCTAACATGACCACGTAGGCAGCTATAGCTACCTGCGTGACATCCGGGTCCAGGATATAAATACAGAGAGAGATTTTATCAAGTGTGTATGATACAAATCAAAAATGAAACAATAAGTGGTCACAAAACTCCAAAATGGGAGGCAAACCGCGGACACGTGTTTCTGGCTAGTGGCCTCATCAGCGCGGTGCAGCCGAGTGTAAAGATGGGCAACACTTGTTTGCCGAAAGCAGGAAAAAACACATACACACGTGGTTTGCCTCCTTTTTTGGAGTGTTGTTGCCACTAATTGTTTCATTTTTGATTTGTATCATACTCACTCGATAAAAACTTTCCCTGTATTTATATCCTGGACCCGGATGTCACACAGGTAGCTATAGCTGCCTACGTGGTCATGTTAGATGTAGCCTGGGAATTCTAGGTGTTCTAGGTATTACTGTAAAAAAATAAAAAAATCTGAGTACATCCTGTAATATTTACACAATATAAATTACCATGATATCAAAACATTAAGACATTAAAAAATCAGAAAAAGTGTTTCACATTATTCAATGTCAAAAAGTTGTCATTTTCATGTTGAAGACTTCTTTCAAAATTAAATAACTAGAAAGGTTAATGCAGTCAAGCTGCTGGAAAATAATTCCATGAAAATCAAAAAATAAATAGATAAGTACTCTTTGATCATTCCCATATTGATTTCAATTTAAGAGCCACCGGTATATCAAGTACTTTCTTGGTTTTTTCTCATTTTGTCTTCAATCGAGGACCGCCTGCCCGGTACGATTGCCTAGTTGTTGCCGGATTTCTAAATAATCACCAGTGCCTTTTGTGGAATTGGCCGCAGTGGTAGTGCGCCCGACTCACGATCGGAAGACCGTGGGTTCGATTCCCGCCTCGACCAGATATTTTTCTCGAGAGAATTTATCTGGTTGCAGCTGGAATGATTCTGCAACCGTGTTAGGAATCACACGTTAAAAGGTAAGACCTCATTAGTCGTTAGCTCGCACAAGTTTCTCAACTTCTGAGAGTTGTCGTTCGTATGGGGGCGACAGCTGATTAACGATGAAAACAGAAACAGAACAGATTTTTCACCATCGATACTGGAGCAACAAGGTCAGTAATGAGAGCCGACAATTCTAAAAGAAGCAGTTTGAAGAAGTTATTTCGTGTTAGGAATCACATGTTAAAAAGTAAGACCTCGTTAGTCCTTAGCTCGCACAAGTTTCGACTTCTGAGGGTTGTCGTTCGTAGGGGTGCGACAGCTGGTTAAAGGAAAAACAGATTTAAAACAGATAGTACCGATTCTGGAAACAGCCACTGGAGATAGATTAACAGTCTATGGAGAACCTGATGTGAGGCTTGAAAACTGCGAAATAGAAACTAAGGTATTAGTGGCCAATATCATCGACGAATTCATTCTGGGACTAGACGGCATGTCCCCCTACGGATTCCTGATGAACATAAAGAACTAACTATTGAAGGTTAGAAAAGAGTAAATTTTAATCGACGTGCCCTCTCAGCCTTATAACAAATCCAAGGTGGTTATACTAGAAGATTCAAGAATATCTCCCAACACCGAGAAAATCATTCAAACGAAAATTGCTGGAACTGGCGGCTTGAGCACAGCATCAATAGAGCCATCCAACGCCTCTGAAGCAGGAATGTTTGTGGCCAGATCTCTCGTGACTGGTAATAATCAGACCATTCCAGTAAGAATAATCAACCTTAATAATAACAGGCTGACTCTCAAGAAACGACAAGTTATAGGCAACTGCGAACCGATCTTGAAAATTGCCAAAATCGAGGAAAAAGTTCCTCAACAACTTGCAAAGGAACTCACCAACTCTTTCAAGAAGACGTGGAGCCATCTGTCTGAAGAAGAGCTATGCAAGGTCGCTCGATTCGTAGAGGAAGTGAACGATATGTTTCTGAAGGGCAAAATCATTGCTCGAACGGATTTAATACCACATTGGATCGATATTAGTGATGCCAAGCCCATACGCCAACCACCGAGACGACTTCCCTTCGCAAAACAAGACGAAGCTGCATCCATTGTTGAGGACATGTTGGAGGAAGGATTATCGAGAAATCAAACAGTCCCTGGTCGTCACCTATTGGTGACTAAGAAAGATGGATTGACGAAATTTTGCGTAAACTGCAGGAAGCTTAATGATGTCACCAGAAAGGACGGTAACCCTCTCCCCAGAATAGATGACACCCTGAACATCTTGGCTGAATACAGATGATTCTCAGCATTAGACCTGAAAAGCGGATACTGGCAGGTGGCCGTTCGCCCAGAGGATAAAGAGAAGACTGCCTTTTCCACCGGCAATTGATGATACCAGTTTAAGTTTATGCCGTTCGGATTATGCAAGGCACCCGCAACATTTGAACGCTTGATGGAGTTGGTGTTGAGGGAACCCACCTGGAAAACATGCTTGGTCTATCTTGATGACATTATACGGAAAACGTTTCGACGAAAATCTGTCAAACTTGATGAGTGTTTTCACGATGCTATGGAATGCTTATTAGCAGATCAACCCCAAAAATTGCTGCCTCTTCCTGAAAAAGGGGAATTTTTTGGGACACGTTGTGTTCTCAAAAGGAATTGAAACAGATACAGAGAAAATCAAGGCAGTACAAGAATGGCCAACAACGAAGAGCAAGCACGACTTAAGAAGCTATAGCTATTACCAGCATTTCAAGAAAGACTTTGGAAAAATCGCCAGACCGCTGCACAGCTTAACTGAAAAGAGAACTCCCTTCCTTTGGTCTCTAGACTGCCAGCAAGCATTTGCTGCCCTGAAGAGACACGCCTGGACAGCGCACCGGTCCAGGCGTACCCAAAGTAGAAGGGCTGGCCATGGATGCATCCCAATATGGAATAGGAGCAGTTCTTTCTCATGTGCAGGATTGACTCCATGTGCGTTCGAGATGACCTACTCACTCAGAAATTGGACAGCCCGGATGGAAGAACCCACAAATTCCAGATAATCCTTCCAAAGACGTGTATCCGATATATCCTTGAACAGCTCCACGATGGAGGACATTTCGGGGTAAATAGAACTCTAGCGAGAGTGCGTGAGAAGTACTATTGGGTCGATTGCTGTCGAGACGTGAAAGAGTGATGTAAGCGCTGTGGCCTGTGCTTTTCGAGAAAGGGCCCGAAGACAAGACAAAAAGGGAGGTTGAAGCAATACCTCAGTGCGAGACAATCGCAGTTGACATTCTGGGACCACTCCCTATGACCACATCCGGTAAAAAGTTTCTCATGTTGTGATAGACTATTTTTCCAAATGGCCTGAAGTAGAAGACTTATCCAACCAAGAGGCTAAAACCGTGGCAGAAGCCCAGTTGCAGAAAGTAATTGCCAAAAACGGAGTACCCCAGGAACTATACACTCGGATCAGGGCCGCAACTTCGAATCGAATTTATGGAAGGAAATGATGACTTTTTTGGGAATAAAGAAGACAGGAACAACTACTCTTCACCCACAATCCGATAGAATGGTCGAGAGGCATAATCGCACCATCAGTAACTACCTCTCAATGTTTGTCTCTGAAAATCAAAGAGACTGGGATAAATTGGTTCCTCTTTTTCTGTTGGCATACAAGAGCTCCCAACATGACGTGACAGGTTACACACCATCCATGTTGTTAACTGGCCGAGAACTGAAGCTTACCATAGATGTATTGTGTGGTAGCCCATCCGATGATTCTGGTACCTATTTCAGAGTATGTGAATGACCGGAAGGAGACACTGGAAATTGTATACAATTTTGCTCGATTCAAATTACAGCTTTCCAGCGACAGGATGAAGACAAGATTTGACAAAAATTCGCAGACAGTGTGGCTCTACCAACCCCAACGTCGGAAAGGTTTGTGTCCCAAATTGCAGAGACTGTGGCAAGGATCTTACCTGGTAATCAAAAAGATAAACGATCTGGTGTACAGAATCCAATCATCACCCAGAAGCAAGCCTAAAGTTGTCCACATAGAGGGCTGAATCCTTACATGGGTCGTGATGTCCCATCTTGGAATGCTGTTCGGGGCGAACAACCTCAAGGAAGGGGGGTGTTGTAAATCATGCCCTAAAGAAAATAACGCCAGCCGCCACTGGTAGCCATAAACCAATTGTGACGTAGCTGAAAACGCGAGAATGTTCGATGTTTGCTGCTGATCCAGATGCAGCGAGAATAATTCTGCCGGCTTCGATGGAATTCCGAGGAATGTTTCAGGGCCTTTGATTGCCAAATATAGTTGAAGTTCAAGTTAAAGTGTTTTGTTTTATTGATAGTGAAATAAAGTTGAATTTGATTATCGTTCAGTGTAGTCAATTATTCGTAAACCCACGGGGAAAAACATAACGTAATATATATCAGGACTGGTACTCTCCTTTGGTCGTTTCTTTCTCTTATGGGTATGTTTTTTTTGGATCTATATCACGACTTTTTTCATTACTTTACCTGGTATATTTGTCATTGCTGATTTCCACGTTTCAATAAGTTAACCTGGTTCAGCCAAATGAGTGCAGCGTCATGTGCTTGATCCTAATATAAAATCCATTTAAGAGTTATTAAATTTTTTCCTCCCGAAAATTTTGCTGCTAATAACATATGTAAAATTTTCATCTTCGCTTGACTGGTTGTTTGGTTGTATGTTAACTGACTAGATTTGCTGACTAATGGTTCCATTTTTTTTATTTTCCAAAAGAATCTTTCATTTATAACTGGTATATCATTAATCTGAATTTCCCGCCAAACGACGGCCATTTTGAGTTCATAAATCCTTCATTTATTTACTAATCATGTGACTCTTGAATGTTGTTCAAGGACTCCAGGACATATTGGATTACAGCGCCATCTGATGGTGAGCGATTTTTCCCTATAACGGTAAGTGGTACCCGTCCATCCCAACCTCAGACAGAAATCTGGATTCAGAAAAGCTCGGCTTGAAGCTTAAAGGCCCCAAAGTCATAATGTGTATGATATAAAATTTCTATATTTAATTTAGCTAGATGATTGTGAGAGAGGAAGTACCTAATAAGTAGTCGGGACGTATATCGTTAGAAAACATCGTCATTTGTGAATGCTATGATGTCATATTTCGAGTTGTGCTCAAGGTATTGAAGGTATCAATTATGTAATTCACTATAATATAGTCACACCTACTTTCAATCGTGCAAATCGTTTTATTTATTGCACAAGAATGAATTATTTCGTTAAGTAATGTGCTGATTTGATGAGAAGAGGGAAGAAAAATTATAACTGGAATAACATTACCCATGTTTCCTTCTTATTCGAGGCACATTGAAGTATTTGCCATAATTGACAGTTACAGCGATTAGTATGAATTCTGTGTATGAATGTCAATGTTGGAACGAAAAAAAAAAGACGCAACTGGCAACATTGCATCTGTTTTTTCATGCTTCAAATTTTAAGATAGGGAAAATAACAAATAGTCATGAAATATAAAATGTCATAAATAATAATGAATTGACAACATAATTAGAAACTAATTATGTTGGTTATTTGGCTGTAACTACAATTACACGAATGTAGAGTGTGATTATTTGGTACTTCGATAAGATCTGGCATTAATTTTAGTCATATGATTCATACATGTCAAGAAATACCCTCTATAAAGTAGTGCAAAAATCCCACAATTACCATTTCGTGTGTAATTTTTACAAATATTAGTCTTGGTTTCAAGTTTGTGATATGTAACCATCAGCATAATTTTATTTTGTGATTTTTGCAATGATGAGATCTGGAAATAAAAACACTTTATTGAAAGTGGTTATCTTGGGAGATGGGGGTGTTGGAAAGAGTTGTTTGATGAATAGATTTGTTTCTAATCAGTTTGATGAACATTCCTTTCATACAATCGGAGTAGAATTTTTAAATAGAGATATTGATATTGATGGTGATACTTATACATTGCAGGTGAGTTGTGATAATTATATAGGTTTATGTAAATTGATTAATCAACTTACAGCAACATCATCTGAGTATAATTATAATACATCTCCTTTTGTCACAGTTCTGAGTTATGCTAGTGAGGCAGTCAGAGAATCAGTTAAACCTCAACTCCTTTAATTTTCAAATTCAAATTACACCCCTTCAATTGAAGCTCAAAATAGTCTAGTAAAGTACAATATATTTTTATAAAATTTAACAAAATATTTGTTGGATCCTAATCCTAATGATGATTGAAAGTTTCATTTCACTCTTCCGCATTAATAACAAATTTCACAAAATCCTAAAATCCTGTCTTCAATGGATATATATTCACACACTGTGAGTGATAGTGGGATGAATTATAATAAATGTAAAACCTTCAAGTTTGCAATTTTATCCAAAACAACAAAAAAAACTGTTCATTATTTAGCTTTTGGACTGTTTTCTATTGGGCTTTATTAATATATTGTTCAGACATCAAGAGTTTATTATTATAGTTTCAACAGCTGTTATTTCAATAGACACTTATGATGAGCTCTCCATTGTTTTCATCATATTTAACTTCTGTTAACATCCTTTTAATTTCTTCATTTATGTGTAAAGTCATTGTTTCACACAACTTGGTGCTTTGAAAGGGGATGATGTTTAACTATCTGTCTGAAAAAATTAAAAGAAACCACAATGAAACTGTCCATTTAAATATAAGTAGTTATGTATAACTAGATTATAATATATTTAAGAAGGGTAACCAAATCAACATTTAATGAATCACAGTGATTTGAAGGTGAAATTACATCCATTATAATTTTCATAAATACATTTTTTATATATCTACCTATATTATATATCTATTTATAACTTAATATATTATCTAGTTGTTCTTGTATACTGTATTATTACTCCAATTGTTTTTTATCATAAATTGTCAATAATTCCAAAATAACTTCGACAATCAACAACTTCCCTATTTCCATAAAAATACAGACAATTTTAAAGTAGTAGCAAATTAAATAACAAGGCAACGATAATTATTCATGACATCCTCCTCTCTGCTAGAGAAACTACTCCTTCAAATCTAGCAGACTAATTTTCTTTGCTGGTCACCTGTATTCATTTGTATTGTATATCAATATATCGAAGTCACCACGGAGCGCCAATTAATTTTTGTTGATGTTTTATAATTTCATGATTTGTATTTTAGAATATCTACACAATGTAAACTATGTTGTATTTCAGTATTAGTTCTCATTCTGCTACTAAATTTTTCTGGTAATGTTGGATGAGCAATTTCGTATAGTCATGTTTTGAATCCAAAATTACTGGTCATCTAGTTTCTTATATAATGACTCTGTACTTTAATTTGAGGTGAAAATTGAAAAGTTTGGTTTACTTTTTATCTTTGCCACTTTCTAGAATCCAAAAACGCTCTAGTTGTCCTTGTCTTATTCAAGATTTCTCATTTTCTTCAGTTTACAGTTCAGTCTGCTCAATCAGAATATGTATAAATTTTTACTAATACTGCTTTCGTCTCTCTCTGCCTCCTTCAAAATTGTACCGTTATTTTATTAATGGCCATTATGGAGTAGGTAGTAAGAGAATTTGTAACAATTGAATATAACTGGCCGACACTTGATGAAAATTCATATTAAAACTAATCAATACAGTTTATTGTGTGATTTTCACTACAAAGGGTATTACAAAAACCTTGACATGTGTTTTGCTATACAAAAGCTTTCTCGAGCATATAGCGAAACACGTCTCGCAGGTTTTGTGAAACCCTTTATAGTGAAAATCATACAATGAACTGGATTAATCAGAAGGATAGTTACAATTGTAACAAAAGGGAAGGTGAAGAAAAAAACAACCGTATAGGAAAGTCTCGTAATATGGGGTAGTTTTTTTTCAAAACACCATAATAAGAAAACGGAAGTAGTTTTGAACATTATTTCCATTTTTCATATTTTGTTGGATATACTATCAAGCAGTTAATAAGGAGAAACATGTTTCTAAAAAAGGAAATGAAAATATACAGAATTAAAAAAATGTGCACTTTCCCATATTAGGTGGCCGCTTTTATATAAGCGTTCTCAAAAAGTTCTCCCACCTGATAGCACGTAAAAGGTTTTCAAAGGTGACATAAAAACTACGTCCAAAGGTTGTATCCGATGTGTCGAATGGGGTGGAAGGCATATTATGTTAACATGGTTTTCTCGCGCCACAGTTATGATTTCCAAATTTTTTGTGTGAGAGTAATGACCATCGAGGATTAAAACCACTGGATCGTCGTAGGTATATTAATAAAATGGCATTGGAACTGTAGTTAACAAAAATTCGTGCTTGGTTAAAGTAATTGTTAAAGTAATGCTTGTATTGGACTATGGTCTACAATAACGTCTTCGTTTTCTCATTCAACTTATTCTTATATAACACATTAAATTAATACAATTGAAACTTAGTTATATTACTTTGCAGCTAGATAACGTGTGTAACGTGGATGCGCTGACAGTTTTGAATTGTTACTCATTTGATGCCAATGCGTCCTGTTCAGACCCAAATGAACGATAATATATTACATTGATTAAGAAATGAGGCTTAGAATCCACTCTTATTTCGTTCCAACAGGGGTTCCATGAAGCGGCTATTCGCCAACTGCTATTCTCAAAGTTGGGGAGAAGATCTTAAGGGTATTATCAGCTGGCGACAAAGACATTCAGTATTACTCGAAATATTGTCTAGAGACAAACGGAAATGCAAATAGGTCATATCAATAAAAACACAAAATGTTTGTTCATACCTTTTATGGAGTGTGGCCTTTGAGGTTTATGAGTTTTTAGACAATGTAGACTTCAATTAGAAATCTTCCAATAGATTCCAACATAAATTCTATGACAGTAGATAATTGATCGTCTTCCTTGAGATAAATCAAATTTTGATTCAGGAATACTATGAAGCATCCTTCAAATCCGCAAAATCAACATATTCTTTCCGTGTCTGGTCCAAAAGCAAAAAAAGAAGGAAGAGACATTTTCTTTTTGGAGGCCGGAAACGTCGAATGACATAAAAGACAGATGAATTATTTGGAAAAAGAATGGTATCTCACAAGTTACCTTTATTGTGTAGGTTTTATTTTAATGAATTGCCGATTCCAACAAAGATTGGAAGACTTGTTATACTTTTTGGTATATACAGGTTCAGACTACATCATAATACGTAATGAAATATTTTTGTTATATTGTAAAAATAAACTTTAAACTACGTAACATTTCATAGACGTTCCTTTTTTTCATTATGAATTCTACTGAATATTGAACTATTTCACAGATCTTTGAGGTAGTGATTTTGAAACAGTAACAAATTCTCAAATCTAGTCAATTACAAAAGTCATGTTTTTTTAGATTTGGGACACTGCTGGCCAAGAACGTTTCAAGACTCTCAGAACGCCATTCTATAGAGGTAGTGATATATGTATGTTAACGTATGCTGTTGACGATAAATCAAGCTTTAAAAATATACAAATGTGGAAAAATGAATTTTCACTTTATTCTGACATTAAGGAAAATGCTCCATTTCCTTTTATAGTTATAGGTAACAAGGTGAGTAATGGTTTATCATTATAATTTTTTTTATAATTTCACGTATGTCAAAGCCAATATTTCTTCCTCGTATCATTTTGGGTCTGGATTTCTTAATTACGAAGATGGTATAATGTTTAGGTGATTTTCTATAAAAATATTTTGAAAAATGCCATCATCAAAACTTATTATCGCTCGTTCTTCATGAATCATAACTGAATTTCCAAATAACTGAATTATATTGTGATGTTTTTATATGTTGCCGCTATTATAGGCTTATAGTACCCCAATTTTTAACTCAGGTACCTTCGTAATTGGAACGTTAATGAGTTCCGATAATTCCTTCACCTCTATAGGTTCATTAACTATTGTTGGTTGCTCCTCAAGAACGTTTGTTTGCGAGAAACTTGCTATCTTGGTGTCCAATGAACAGGTCAACCGCAAGCAGGCGTGCACTGCATGTGAATGGCATGTCCATGGTGAAGCCTATGCACCCCACCTGTAGCATAACAAATGCCATTATTTCTTTTCATACTGCAAAATTAAGGGCCATCTGTTGGTTTTATCAGAACTAGTACCATCCCGCAGAGCTTCCTTCTCAGTTCTTGTAATTATTTTGTTAATGGTTCTTATGAGGCGGGTATAGATACACCCAATAATATTTCAAATTAGTTAGTGTGATTATGATTCAAACCGACATCTACCTGTGCAAAAATGCCATAATTATAGATATGTTCTTTTTATGAGATAACATTAAAAGGCTTGTTTAGCATGCTCGGGATAGTAACCAGGGGTGTAATAATCTGTATTGCACGTTCAACAAGCAGTAACAGAAAATGTTAATCCAGATTGTACCCTCGAAGACGGATGAGTATATATAGGAGTGGTTCAAAACACTGACCTTTTTGTTGATGTGCTAACTATCAAGGTAGTTTCTAATTGGACGAATAATGTTTGACTTGCGCTGCACGCCCTTCGGCGTGCGAAACGAAATATTGCTACCTTGGGTTACATCACTTCAAATAAAAGGGTTGGAAGCAATTCCTGAGGAACATCTTGGTTAATGGTCGTTAAGGTATCTGACAGAATGAGAGGCATCAATTTCCATTTGTGTGAAACAAAAAGCCGTAAATAAAAACCACCGAGGAACCATAAAAAGATCAGTCTAGCTGTTGACATACTATCAGATGCTTTGGAAATATTAAACCCGACAGTTCGCCACTATGTGTTTCTCGATTGCATTAATCTGAAAATAAGTGACTTATGACAGGAACTGTTAATTTTTGTGTATAGATCTTTCAAAATCTTGATTGAAACCTGTTGGGTTTGTTGACCTCAATGAGACAATAAAATGAAATCTAAAATTTGACACAATCGTATTCATCACATTCATTAAATTGTGATAATGAGATCAAAACTAGTATACACACCTCTCCAGCATCACATTTAAAAAGTCAAGTTTTTTGTTTTCTCAAAGTAACACTATGTAAAATATGATTTATTCTTTCAGTGTGATGTATCTGCGGAAGAGCGTGAAGTTTCTCAATTAGAAATGGAAACTTGGTGTAATGAAAACTCTATAACATCGTGTATCGAAACATCTGCGAAAAATGCGAGTAATGTACAGGAAGCTTTTAAAATGGCTGTTAAATATTGGTTGAAACTCGAATCTAGAGCGAATAAGGATGAACCTATTGTAAATGATACAGTTGATTTGACAAAAAAACAGTCAGATAGCAGAACTTCCTGTTGTTTGGGAAGTGGAGATGAGTGAAGTATATCTTGATATTATAAAAGTTCTCTTATCTTTCTTTTGTATTTCTAAGAATAACTCATTTGATGAAAGGCATTGCTTTTAGGCAACTTATTTTATGTAGTCAGTGATATTTTTACCTAAAACAACACATTGGGTCTTTGTGAGTCACTCTCATACCTTCAATTTATGTAAATAGTCATAGGTGTCTTTATTGAACGAACTTGACCCCGAATAAAATATCGAGATAATTTTATGTTGGATGCATTTAACATCTTGATTGAAATTTATAAAAAATACAACATATCAATAAATAAACTTCATCAGAAAGTAATAATTTTGTGAATATATATTCTCTGAAAATAGTGATTCATTCGTTATATTTCAGATTATTTCCATGTGATTTTATCACAACTGGATATTAATTTTCAATAAAAGGACATGTTTGTGAATTTCGCAGACAGAAAAAATAACCTATTTTTCACAAACGTAACCCAATAATTTGGGTGAAAAACTTAAATGTCTCAGTTGCACCCGTGTCACATTGTTTTGGTAGATAATTCAAAGAATAGCAGTAACTAGGACGTTGCACCAGTTTGAAGTATTTAATTTTCTATGGTTTTCAGGTTGTTTTCGGTGAATGTGTTATACACATTTATAATAATATAACACAATTTTCTATATAGCAATTATACATTGATATACTCAAAGGAGGAGGGAGGCAAGTCATATTTTATTGCAACTCCCAATATAGTGACTCAGATCGTTTTTGTGGTAGCCATCTGTTTCAATTTCGAGACTAAATGAGCTAGTTAAATGTTAATGGATATGAATCTTCAGAGCCAGTTGTGGCTGTTGGTGCTGGAAAATTTGGTGGTTGTTTGATAATACCTGTACAAAATCGGGGCACTTGAATTACTTCATAGTTATCGCCACTTTCACTGCTACTTTCGTAAGACATCAGGAGATTGTAGGTAAACTCAAAAAAAAGTCCTGATATCTATTTGATACTGATAGTAATTTCACGTCATGAGTATATGAGGTTTACTAAGTTTGAACATACTATCATCAAAACACAATGTGGTAAATAGAAATTCGGACAAGCCTTGTTAGCTGCCAATTGAAAATGTGAATTGAAGTTGTAATTCACTGGTCCCCCCTTTGCAATAACAAATTGGAAATCTGATGTTCAAGTCTAGAGTCATCTGATGTTTACAAATGCAAGTGATAATTCGGAATGGTAAAATAGTTTCAAGATTTCACTACAGAAAGCTCTAATCTTGGCACAATAGTCATTCTAAAACTAAATTGATGTCTCAGCATGTGAAATAGTATACTGTAATTTTTTACACTTCCTAGGAACTGTCAAACTTGTTTATTCCTTCCAAGTCTCTGGAAAAACTGCAGCCTCAAGGGCTTATTGCGTTTTTCCTCCGTGTTTTTCATGACACCCATTCTAAGAATCTTGATTCCTAAACTAGTGTACAGGTCTCTTGCTGGGCATATGTCATATTTTTTTAAATATAATTTGGGTTGTCCATAAATTGTTTGCCTCTTGTGATCGAAAGCCTCACATTTGTATAAAATATGATGAGCTGTCTCTGTTGAATAGCCCTATTTTATTCAGGTGTCCTCTCAATGGACAGTATCTAGTTATTGTTCTGAGCCGATCCCAGATTTGTTGAATCAGTTCTTTGGTTCTCTTCTTGAAGGGTCCCTTTATAAAGGATTTCACGGTTGTTTTCCCAGATGTGTTTTTCCAGTTCTCTTTTTATCTTTTGTAGATCATTTCCTAATTTGGTTCCTTACCAAACTTCAATTTTTTTAAAATATCTGCCTCAACTCCCCTTCACTCGCTGGGTATGCCTAAGAGATTTCGGATTAGTCTTCAGACCGTTTGTGGTGAACTTTATTTCATACATTTGCATTTAATGTTTTTCCATTTTCACATAATAACACATTTTAGCTCGGTTTATATATCGGTTTTATTTATTTTTCTGTTGTTTTAAGATTGAGGGGAGGATACACATAGACCAGTACTGATTTCTCGAACAGAGACCTAGTTGATACCTACTACTTAAGTAGTTTGTGATGAACTAACAATATTTTGCCAGTACCATGTAGGATGTAAGTTTTTTATCTTTAAGAAGCATTTTTTTTTAATTTGATATCGGTTGTGGCATTTAAACAGTATTTGAATGTGGAAGTATAAATCAAGTTATTTTTGAATACCTATTTTGAATATCTCTGACATCCTAAACAACTCGAATGAATAAAATTCATAAATGTAGGCCTCTTGAATGAACAAATGATTTATACATACAGTGTTTTAGTGAATGTAGAAATATTTTAACATTATCAAATAGATTTCACTAAAATTCATTCTTTTTTTTGGATTTCATTTTTTGATTTTTCCTACTTTTGAAAATGTTGAACAGAACACAGTATTTTTAAATATATGTAATATTCAATAAAAATAATAGCTATTAAGTCATTTTGTTTTTATATTTCCAAATACAGTATTGATCTTTATTGCCAAAAAGTTGCGTTGTTAGTTTGCATTGTGATTGTTAGACATATTAGTTGTATATCTTTAGATGATAAGTTTACTGTTTCGACATGGATTACTGTTTTTTTTTTAAGATTGATCTGTTGTTGGTGCTGAATTAAAATTATAAGAAGTCTACTTTTGCCAACAGAAAATAAAATCGAACAAATAAAGTTTTATATGATAATGAAATGTGAGGTTTCAATCGAACAGTAATGTCACAATTTAGTCGCAAGTCAGTGCATTTATTATTATTAGTGTCTTGATAGAGAGAGAAAAAATCATTTCTATCTGTAAGTCTAGTTGTGAAAGAAAGAATTTGAAATCACAAAACTGATTCAGTATTTTTCAAGCTACTTCAAACAAGTGTTATATTAACCATTTTGGATATTATATTTCTACAAATTTCCCTGTAATAAAAATTAGTCTTGAATAGAGATGGTTGAAAACGTTTGTCAGTTTTTCATAATCTTCCTTATTTTTAGATATTTTAGAAATGAAAGTTTCAATTTAGTATCAGTTATTATCTGTATAAGTTTACCAAATTTCTTCCTTATTTTGATAGCGGAATCATCTGATTTCTCATAAATATTCTCTCCTTTTTAGCTTCATGTTTGATTTATAATAGAATTAATAACGATTTTTGAACTATATTTGTAAAATGATTGTTTTTTTTTTCTTCTGATCTTTGTCTTCAAGCTTCTTCTGTCAGACAAATATAAATGAAAAATTTTCAGCTCTGTGGCTTTTGTACTATATTGTGCTTGATAGTTGATAAATCTAGGAGGCCATAACACCACACATCGGATTGTACATCTTCTGGCGAACTTTATAAATATATTGCATCAGTGTCTTATTTTTAAAAAATATACCATTCAAAAACCTCAAGTGCGTTTTTCTCAATTATTCTTTAATTTAAAATCTGAAATGTTAGGTCCCGCACTTTGTCAAGTAAAAAATGTCGTGTCAGTAAACACTTCTGAGAATACTGAATTCTACTGTAAATAATACAATCATAGAGTTTATTTGCCAAACCTGATATAATTTTGTGTTTCTAGTTGAACAATATAGGCAATTGCTATATATAGACTTGAATGGTTTTCAGTATTACACCACAGAAAACTTATTATCTTCATATTATTTCTGTTAAAATATTACTCACAATATTCTATTTACAGGCAGGTTTCCGGGAGATGACCACTGTTAAAAATTTTAGATGTAAACATTTTGAATCAAAATTCAAATATTCACCAGATACAAACTGGAAGAAAAAACCCTCTAGAAGCAACTTTTTTCATATAAATATTGAATTACAGGAAAGAAAAAGTGCTTTCGAAACTACTTTTACATGTACATTGAATTATGCAAAAATCACCTTTTCCCATTCAACTGTTGAGCAGTGTATTTGCTCCAATATAGCTTGAGACTCAACGGTAGAAGCGTTGTTGATTTCGTCGTGAATATAAATGAAAAATGTAAAAAAAAATTATTAAATCTATACAATACTTGGTTATTTCTGGTAGGATATAATCAAGTTGTTTACAAAACAATGAATACGTATATGAAATGATCCAAGTATTCAAGTGAATATTTCAGGAAATATTACAATCAAACTATGAATACATTTATAGTCAATATATTTTACAAGATTCAGTCATATACAGTGTTACAATATTCAAATAACAGAATTACTTTCACTCAATAACACGTTTTTGTGCAGATTTCAAGGACAATATATGAAGGCATCATGATATGATGACATGTTAAAACACTTCCTATTACACAACTAGCGTAAAATCAGTAACAAACATTTTAGTGTAGCAAGCATATAAAGCCAACTTCAAGAATTTCTGAAGTTCATACCTAACTAAATATGTAAAAGTGGATTTATTTCAAGGCTTTATTGAAGATACAAAATTATAATATAGCAAAATTAGGTTCAAGTAAGTCATCTATTAGTATTATCGAGATAGAAAACTAGTACGATATATGCTGTAATTTTCACTTGAACGAAATTCTATATGTTTAATCACTGCAGAGGAAAAGTAAGCTAAACTTATGAGAGACCAATACAAGTTAATATGTGAGAGGAAATACAATTTGTATGTAATCTAAGGTCAAGGACAATGTGCAGAAAGACACTGAGATAATTTCGGAACTAAAACCTTTAATCAAACATTCTGTAAAACATTTTGAGATAAATTGCATGGGGGAAATATGAATAATTTTTTACAGTATCACTTAAGCCTAGCCTATTTTTTTTGTAAAACTGCCACAGGTGAAGTCCAAAAAAAAGTTAGTATCATAATCAATATCAGTTATTAATGTTGAGCATATTCATTATATTTTATTTTCCTTAAGTGAAAAACAATTTAATCCCGATTTCCATATGAAACAAGAATTTTGGCACATTGTGCAACATCTTGAAAAATAGTTTCATTTCCCTTTATTCTACAGCTCGTAAATTTATTTCAAATCTGTTACATATCACAAAGTTTTTAATAAAGAAATCAAATTATTTAAAGTACATCAATGACTATATTCAACTAAAAACTTCAAATCAAATCAAATCAATATGAACTGTTCACAAGAACTGAAACAACATGAAATATGATCATGAAAGTTGTTCATGTTCAGTGAGCTTAATAGTTTTATGTTTACATTTTTCATGAAATGTTCCTAAAAAATCTACTAAGCCTTCACATATTTATCCATTAATAAAAGCTGAGCAAAACTTTCTTGAATATGTAGCTATTGGAATTACACAACCAGAATTATTTTGGAAAATTCAACTCATTCTAATTCTTGCAATAAGCTATTCAAGTATTCTTTTCAAGACATTTTTTGTGAATGACTCAATGTTTCTCAATTCTTATCTAGGTTTTTAACCTTCCACAATATAAAAAATGAATCCATATCAATAGATAATCTTCTGAAGTATAATAAAGAGAAAACTGAAAAGTTACTGCATAATATAAATCACTGAAGATAGTCCAATTAGTCGGTAACTTGTTGTATTCATAAATTTTGCTTTAAAATTGAATAATCCATGAAAAAAATTAAATTTCATCTATTTTGCTTTAGACAGTCAACGCTTTGGAAAAAGTCAATTAATTAATTGATTGACAAATTGATTGAAACTAGTTTTGATTGGTATTTCTTTCAATTTCGAAAATACTTTCTTGTAAGATTTTATATGAACAGCTTGAAAAACAAGTTTCTTTTATCACAATGTTCAGGCGCATATCTGACATGTTTTTATTGTGTTTATCATGAATTTCAACACGTCTATTAAACATATAGTACTTATTTTAAATTTGGTTGTGTATTCATACAACTTGTAGTCATTTTCTCACTCTTACCATATTTGCAGCACCATAAATAAAAACAAATTAGTTATTAGCTATAATATTATTAGTCTATTTCTTTCCCTTCAAAGGGAAACCTAATTTTGTTTCAGAATTCCATTATAGGAATATATTGCAAATATAAACTTCCACAAAGCTAAGGCAAGTGTATATTAGTGATAACATTTATAAAACTAGGATTATAAATGTAAATCTTTCAATTATTATAAACAATACTGGAAATGTGAATTCACTAAGTATTGGATGGAGAAAAAGAATAGTTTCTATCCATGTTGACAATAAGTTATTATTTCAACATGGAATATTCATGTATTCTAGCAAACTAAAAAACATTGGATAATCTCAGTATATTACATTGCAATACTTGACAAATATTAATATTATTCATTAGATTAGCTTAATTAGAGTATCAGTACTAGGAAATATATACAAAATAACAATAATATCTAGGTTGTCTGGTAATCAATTGAAATCCTCACGACAGACAAAATTGTGCTAAGCCTAGATATCTGAACATTATCATCTCAAAGCAGATATATTTCAAAGCACACAAATATAACTTTGTCAAAGTTAAATAATACATTTTGCCACTTTTTTGTTCGACGAGAATAATATACAACATAATCACTTGCTAAAACGATTTTTTTCACTACAGATATAAAAATATATAATGTACAGTAAAATAAAAATGAAGAAATCAAGAGATTTTTTTTTAAATATTGCATAAATAATTTACAAAAATATATTCAATATCAACTCTTAGAATTATTGAAAGTCTCCTTTCTATTAAGTATTAAACAACATACATTCAATATATGATGTTGGCACAAAACCTTCTTCACTAGCTCCTATGACTCTCCGTACCCTGGTCCATCCATCTCCCTGATCAAGTTCTATTATATGCAACTCTTCATCTTGTACCATTCGTATACTTCCCTCACTAGTAGCTGAAAAAAGAAAATACTTTATAAATATCAATTCACTTATACTACATGAGATTCCATATGCAATTGTAGGTGCCTTTGGTTCCACAACAATCACACATTCTTGTAAAATTTTAAATTTTTTTCTCTAGAAACCGAGGTTTTTTTATTGTTAATAATATAAGTATGTAATCATTTAAATATTGTATTGGAGTATACAGTTTCCTTTATAAATTACAAAAAGGTAAATGTAAAAATACATTTCACATCTAATACAGTTATTTTCAAGTTAGAAAAATAGAGAAGGTATTAAAGGGAGGGACGTTAACCAGTGTTATTAATGAAAAAAACCTAACGTATTCTAAAAACACTTTATTGTGTGATTTTCACTAGACAGTTTTACAAAAACGCAACACCTGTTTCGCCATACAATGGCTTCCTCGGGCGTGTCTTAAAGGAAAAAAAACCTTCAAAAGATTGATTCAAGATGTTCAAATGATACAAAATAATTTTTTTTTTTAATAAAAACTTCAAGGTCCCAAATGTTGGGGAATTGACAGATCAATATAAACTGAGTAATTCAGAAATTTGTTTTTCAGTCTAATTTTGTAGGTAGATATTAATGAATATTAGTTTTTTAAAAAGGGACCAAAAAATATCCAGAAGTTCATCAATTTGATTGGAAATATTTTTATCATACTTTAACTTAGAACATTCAGTTTTTTGCTTGACGTTTCGTCTACAGATGCGTTATACATCTTCAAAGGCGATGAAGCAATGGACAAAGTGCTCTAATTGTCCTCACAGCAAATATTACAAATAAGTAGTTCTAACACAGATTACTAGGAAAATTACTTGTATTGTGAAATTTTAATATATACGGGAAAGAAAAGTTTTGGCTTTCTATTTCTCCATCTTGGAGAACATCGTGCGAACATCGGCCGCCGCACAAGACATGCAAGCCAGCAACAAGTGTATTCACAGAACTTAAGCGAAGAAAGACAAAATATAATAAGAGAAAATGCCCGATTGATACAATGCGTGAGCACACGAAGATCATTGGCATCATACAATCGCTTGGCATTCCAATATGATCCCACTGCGAACTACAGTGATGATGAAAATTTAGATATTGGACCAATGACGACTGTATGCTGATATTGCAATGCTTTAAAGTTCAAAAGAGAAACGGCTGGATTGTGCTGCGCAAGTGGAAAAGTCAAACTGGATCCATTACTTACACCACCACAGCCACTGAAACCATTGTTCGATGGAAGTGATCCCGATTCCAGCCATTTTCTTCAACACATCCTTGAATACAATAACTGCTTTGGCATGACTTCCTTTGGAGCTAATATCATTCGAGAAGGCGGCTTCATGCCGACTTGCAAGGTAAAAGATACAACACACATAACCAATCACTCACACCAACACAATGAATTGCAACACATAACAACTACATATATACCCCACACTACACCATCACACGATCAGAAGTTACACCGTATTCTTCAACAAATGATTGTTTGCAATTACAGATACAAGGACAAATATATCATTTGCATGGTTCAATGGTGCCAAAACCAGATGAACCGCATCAATTTCTGCAAATATATTTCATTTCGTCGATGGTGGATCAGCTGAATGTGCGGTGCAATATACAGGGAACACAACAGTTAAAGAGACGAATTATTGAACAGTTGCAAGCATTTTTTCACGCTAATAACGCTGTGGTTAATATGTTCAAAACAGCATTGGAACGAATGCCATCGGATACCCACAAATTTGTCATAAGAGCGGATTGTACCCCAACAGGTGAACATGTGCGAAGATTCAATGCACCCACCGTTAATGATGTTGCTGCAATTATTGAGTTTCTTCATCTTTTAATCACCAAACGAAATGTTACATAAAACGAAGCCATCTGGTGGCGAAACGGAGTTCGCCGGGTTTGCTAGTATAATATAAAATTTACTTAATGTGAACTTTGAAATGTCTATAATTTGTTAGTTATGAAAATAACTATTCGTGTAGTATTATACAGTAATAACTTAAAAACTTTTCAATAAACAACATATAAACTTTCAAACGATAGTAATCCGTCAATTGGCCTCAAAATCTAAGCAACTGCCGACGACTAATTTTTGTATAGCTAACCCTCTTTGATGTATTGAGTGCAAGCTACATTTTCCGTAAATCAACATGGTTTCAGAAAAAGTAAAAGCACCGAAACAGCTCTAAATAAATTTGTTAGTAGCATCACTGAGGGTAAACTCTGACTAAACGAAGACAAAACTGTATGCACATAATTCAATAGGTCAAGACTCTCAGATTTCTTTTTTTGTACACTCTATATACAGGGCTATTCAAATTCGTTTCTGTACATGGGCATTTCGTAAACGATAAGAGATAGAGTGTCAGTTAAATTGTGGGAAAGTTGCATATTTTAAAGACTTATTCGATGATGTAAAAAAATCGAATATAGCTCTTTTGGTTCTGGAGATGTAGAGGAAAAAATAAAAATTCCCAAATTATTTGTTTGCCTACATCTTCTTTATTCGCAGACATATTGAAAATCTGTCCACATTTTGCTATTGGCACTTGATGTGAGCTAGCCACATATGTTCAAGAATTTATTATATAGGGTGTCATCTGACTTGGGCCACCCTCATCTTTGAATTTTTAAATACGGACCTGTAATTTTTTGGTAGTTTTTTGATCGTAGACGTTCACTTCATACTGAGAAATTAAATTTCATTTTATATTTCCGCATGTTTGAGTAATATTCGATTATAATTTGGTGAATGATTCCCTTTTGAATTACGGCCCTGGAAATTGATTGACTGAGTTAAATAAAAACACAATAGCAACTTTCACGTCTCCCTATCTACCGAAGAGATTTTAGAGATTTTTTTTTTCATTTTTAGGTACCTATTCATATTTTTTCATATTTCCATTGCTCTGAGCATTTTCTACAATGAACTTCGAATAAGAAAGCCTTTTATGATTAGATATATCTACAACAAAAATATATTATATGTGGTTCGATGAGCAGAAAAAGAAATTATAGCAATAATAACATCAGAAACGAACACTATAATTGTAATGAAAATTTAAATGAAGTAATGTATATACACAAAAAAAATAATGGCGCAATAAATGTTCCAATTGGAGTCCTTCTAATTCGAGACAATAAGATGACCTGCAAGATCACCAGATCTAACTATTTTGGGCATTTTCTATGGAGTCAATCAATTTCCAGGGCTGTAATTCAAAAGGGAATAATTCACACAATTATTATCAAATATTACTAAAACATCCCAAAATATAAAATTGAATTTAATTTCTCAGTATGAAGTGAACATCGACGATACAAAAACTACAACAAAAATACAGATCCGTATTTAAAAATTCAAAGATGGGGGTGGCCCAATCAGATGATACCCTGTATAAAAGATTCATGGACATATTCTGCTAGCCCACATCAAGTGCCAATAGCAAAATGTGGACAGATTTTCAATATGTCTGGGAATAAAGAAGATATAGGCAAAAAAAATAATTTGGGATTTTTTGGTTTTTCCTGTATATCTCCAGAACCAGAAGAGCTATACTCGATTTTTCCACATCATTCTATAGGTCTCTGAAATACGCAACTTTGCCACAATTTAAGCGACACTCTATCTCTTATCGTTTACGAGATCCCCATGTACAGAAACGAATTTGAATAGCCCTGTAAATACACAGTTTTGAGAGATTCAAAAAAGAATTCACATGACTGTTAGAAAAGTTGGTCTTCTCTCTTCTATGTGAAAATGTACTAATTTATCTTTCCTTTTAATGTAATACTGTCGAGCCTTGTGTGGCTGCTGTTCTGTAAACTTTGTGTCTCAATGTTTCAATGAAATGAATGAACAATTTTTTTTTGTACTAAAGGGTAAGCTGGTCGGACCTTGTCCCCGAAAGTTCCGATACATTCGGGAAGGTACGCCAGCATATTAACCAATGACCACTCCCCGTGAGATAACTAACTTGTCATTGGGTCCGAAAATCACGTGCCCCATGCAAACACAATAAGCCAAGAATGATAGCCTTCTGCATTTGTCCGGCCAAGATTTTTGCCGATAATCAAAACTACCATCTTGACAGAGTGGTCTGGATAGAGTTTGTGGAATTTTATCAGTTTGTGCACGGTGTTATAAATTTGCCAGATGTCAGCCTCTCCTGTAAGAACATCACGAACCTCCGCATCCAATCAAGCCAATTCTTGTGGCTTCAGAGGCCACTACTGATGAAGCTACGGTGTTAGCCTTCATAAAGAGTGTTAACTGTAGTTATTTTTCTTCTTATTTTCTTTGGAAGATTCCTTCATTTTTTGTTTAATGATATAGAAGTAGAAACAAAAAATTTTGCGAATTTTTCCTGATTTAGATAACTAAGTATGGGTAGTCAAGGTGACAACAGCAAGTGTTTATCGTCGTTCCATAACAAAAATTGTTTTGTCAAAGTTGAAGTAGTTATCTCTGAACGCTAGAAAATGTTGTGGACTAATTTACCTTGAATCAGTCATCAATAAGTCAGAGTGATTGTTGATAAAGTTATATTGAATCTATTAGTGGTTGAAAATTGGAAATCAAATCCAAAATGTATATGACATGTATATACTTGAATACTCATTTTGAGCCAGAAGTTTCAATTCTTATCTATTATGATTTAGCCTACTTAATCCCTGAGAGGGATCAGATCACAGCTCTCCAACGCCTCAAGATTCTGCTCAATAGTTATCATACTCATTCATTTGAAAAACATAAATAAACAATAAATGACAAAAGTCATTAATTTTTTTGTTCTTATTCTCAACAAACAACAAAAATTGTGTAGTATGTAGTGTTTACAAAAAAGTATTTCCTTTGCTTTCCCAACAAAGAAATAGCATACAAAAATCAACTAATAAATCCTACCTTCAAAAGGATAGAGGGCTTTACACGTTCCAAGGTTGGGTAGTGACGTTTCGGCTTCGTAATATTCGCTTTCTGGATCAGCTCCATTTCCATCGAATTGATCTGGATCCGAATCAGGTCCCGGAAGGGAGGTGTGTGAGGTGCCCAAACCACTTTCAGGGCTATTGGAACAACTATGTCAAATATGTTAATTGGAATTCAAATAAAGAAAACAAGTAATCCAGACTAATCAAATATAAATAGAGATATATTTTGTGAAATCTTTGGAATTATTTTATAGTTCATAATTAATGTAAAAAAACATATTATATTTCAAGGAATAATTGAAATACAATATTGAATTGAAATATTATATAACGGATTTTCAAATAAACAAATTATAAGTCATGTGTGTTTTGCTAGCAAGGCAGCTTCTTCAGACATGACTGATGATAAACTGAAGTACTCTTTGTCCTTATCATCCAATGGAATTTCAATAGTTCATTAGACATAATAATTACTAACTTCACCATTGCAGAATAAATTCTTCAGAATGAGCAGTTATTTTGAATTTACTGTCAAAAGATGATTTGAAAATAGTTACTTCGTTTTCTCAACAGGAGAATAAAAAAAAAACGGAATAATAATTATAGATCTAGTAGGCACAGAATATTTATCATTTTTGTATTGATCTACCGAATGTATTGCATAACTAGGAATAAAAAGAACTGCTCATATCTGGTTCACAGGTTCAGAAATTATCAGTTATAAATAAAATCTTGACAATATAGAAAAAGTTTATCTACGAATACCATTTGTGGCGTTCCTCACGAGCCCTTTTTTTTAATCTATATAAATTTCCATATTCAAAATTCTATTTCTTGTGGTTTGTATAAACGCTTGGATTTATTGATTTTCATTTCAAGAAGAAAAACTTTGAGAATATTCTCAACAATCGACCACATTCTTGCCGAGTAAGATTCAAGTCTTCAATTTAAAATAAGATTAGGGGTCAAGTGATCTTTCCTTTGTAAAAATAATATTTTCTCTCTTCAACCTTACCTACTTTTTCAAATTTGCTGCAGTTGATATTGGGAAAACAAATGTTACAATGAAAGTATGTCAAGTTATGAATGTTACGTTTTTTTACATTTGATACTAATTTAGTATTGTACTTAGAACGGTGTTTATCAAAAACTGTTTACAATTTGAGGTTAGAGTTCCAAGCCTGTAATGAAAAAAATTAATGCATCTTTTGCTATTAATGTTTCTTGAATATATCTCACCAGATTTTTTCAAAACACACAGGTCCAATAATAGAATTTACAAGAATACCATATGAGCCCTACAATTTAAAAACCAGGTGAGTCATTTCCAACAAATCATTCAGGAGATAAAACCAGTTATTAAAATTTTTAAATAGTAAAACTGGAACCTCTGGTGAAAAATGAATCTAAAGGAAATATTTCCCCACATTTCCACCAAAATAATGTGTCTAGGCGGGCAATTTGCTAACCAAGTTAGCATCATCTGGAGATAATGTGCGAAACACACGTTGAAAGACAGGGTTTTTGTTCTAGTGTGGGAAAAGTGCTTCACCTACTTTTTTAATCTCCTGCAAAATTTGTTGAAATTGATTTATCTAGTTTTGAAAGTAGGCGCCACATATATCCATGAAATGTTTTTAAAATCATTCCTTTTAATGCTTCAGTTTATTAAATATATCAATAGTTTTATCAATTGATTATCCAGACTAAATATACCAAGAAAATGTTTGTCAAGTAGCTAAAATTTCCCTTTTTTGAGGTTAAAGAATTCTGTTTTGTTCGTTTCACTTCTATTTTTTCAACATGAAAAAGCTATTTTACACTATTGATGGTAAAAACAATGAATTGAAATCGAACAAAAAACTATTTTCAGTGTATTTATGTTCACTCGATATAAAATATATGATAGAACTAGCTGTTGTGCGAGATTTCATTTATAACTATCCATTTCAATTTTGATGTGTTCATATAAACCATCAATAACAATTATTTTACAAATTATAAAAATAGTACATCAAAGTTTCAGCCAATATTTTTAGAGCTTTTTTTTAAAGACAAATGTTTAACTTGATTCTTTGAATTGACACATTTTTTTTTATTTATGACTCAACTTGAAATAAATCAAACACTAAACGTTAAGTGATGCTCATAACAATACTGTAATGAAAACCACACTCAAATCAGTTAGGCCATTTTTAGATTAGGAAGGACAGACACACAGATGAACAGAAAATATTTTTTTAGGTTCTATCACCTTTAAAATCCTCAATTATAGTTTTTCTCGAATAGTTTCCTTGTGCAGTCATCAGTTACAATTTCAATATATGTGAAGATATATAAAATAAAATAATAAGGGTGATACAACTCCTAATATCCATGTCGTCCAAGGTAAATTCACTACTGCTAACCTACTATTGAAGAAACACTGGTTACTACAGTAACAATTCAAATGTTTTGATGTTATTTTTGTCATTATTTATAGCATTGCTCATTAGTTAGTTTCTCTTCTATAAACAAATATTTAGTACTACTACTAAAACTACTAATTTTTTTATGAAGGAGCTCAACCACTGCAGATGAAATTCTAATGTACTCTAAGAGTGGTAATTTTGTGAAAACAAATAAAAATTATTCATTCTTTATATTATTTTTAAAAACAATCACTATTTTTCCTAAGGTTTCCAAAGTAGATTAATGATACTTTTCAATTTCAATGAAATATATAATGTCATATTATTCATGCCAGTTGTTTTATAAGTCAGTTTTCTGAGTTCGAAGTTTTTTTTTTAATATGCTCTACGAAGGGCAGAAGGAACTGTAAATAGCAAATTACACAATAATTCTAAATTGGACAAAATTGTTCAATATCAAGTTTTGTCACTTTTGAATTTATTTTTCAAGAGTAAATAATTCAACAGTCTAAGGATTATTATTGAATGCAGTTATTTTATGATGTATTAAAATTAATTGAATCATTCATTGGCATCTCGGTCATGAATTTGAACAAAAGGTGGATAGAATTATTAAAACAATGTAGTAGGTGAACCCAAGAGGGGATTTTGAGATTTACTTGAGCGCAACAGATGAAGATAGGAGAGGATACCATGCATCCTGTTGAAGCCAAGTACCAATATGAACCCTTAATTAAGATCTGGGCAAGTAAAGCAGCCTCTGACATTTATAAAAAAAATGCTCATTGGAAATATTCGTATGTGTAGATTGAGTTATGGTGACTTAATTTTGAGGTAGAGAGTACATTTATCAAAATCTGACAATTTGAGCGTGACTTAGGGGAGTAGAAGAGTCACAAAAACTTAATATGATGCATTCGAATATTTATGGCGAGCGATTTTTTTATGAATCTGACAGGCTGCCCTACTTGCCCGGCTCTTGATTGAGGGTTCATATAGGGTAAACGGCTTTAGCAGGATGCGTGGTATCCCCTCCTGTCACACACAAGTAAATTACAAAATCCTCTCTCAGGCTCCCCTACTAATGCTTAGATTTGTCTACAATGTTTGATTTTTGTTTTATTATGCAGAAGTATCAAAACTTTTCTCAAAAAACTGAAATGATTATATACACTTTCAGGTGTGTATATAGAAAAGAAAGTAGTCACAACTTAATGGCTGAAATACAAAATAAATTGTAACAGAATAACAATTTCCATTAAAAAAAATCTGCTTCATTTTTAAAATTATCATTTTCAATGGACTCTGCTACTTTCTTTAAAGTCAATGGGAATATTCAGGATCTGTCATGACAAGCTTTCATTAATAAGAGGTGTACCTAACTATATCTAATAAAAGGAAGTGATCCTATGGACGTTCCAAAATGTTCTTTCTTGTATCGGTGCTTTATTTATTAAATTGGATTGAATTTCGACAATCACTGTAAAATATAAAATTAGTGAGTATTCGAAGTCAAATAGAAAGAATACTGTTGTCTTGAAGTTGATTTTTTAATTATTATGATTTTCATTATTAATGATAACTTTGGAATATTTTTTACTCATATTTCTATATTTAAATTGCAAAGTTTCTATGCAACGAAATTATTGGATATGTTGTCATCAAATTGTTTGTAATGCATCTACATGTAAATCATAATCATATGCATCTACATGATGCATCTACATATGCAGAACTACCAAGCAGAGTGCCTGAATTTGGCATGTGCGATCTTGCGATAAATTTTGTGAAGATCAAATCGTTCCTGAGGTAGTTTGTGAAACTACTATGAATCTTTATTAGTAATGGCAGAGTCAATCAGAATAGAAAAGAGATCAAAAGTCATCGCCAATTAGTAGGACAATGTCAAAATGTGTCTTTGCAATAAAAAACTATCAGGAACAATTGTTCATCCACAGGAAGTGGATTGGTATTTTCTGCTGATCCCCTAGACGATACCTTTCTAAACGAAGTTGTTATTCACTTATCACAATATTTAAAATAACAATTTTTTTTCAGTAAACTGATTTCATAAAATGTGACAGCGACCCAAAATTTAATGTAAGGTGTAATCTTTAATAAAATTAATGTAAACTCGTCATGACATGGTCTTTAAAAAAACCAACGTTTAGTAATATGTTGGAGAGAAATTAAATATTTGCACTCAGAAATTGAACAATTTTCTATCCTTAGAAATAATTTTTCAAGCCTACCGATTCAATCGATACATTTTGAAAAATTTTCACATCGATAACTAATAAATTACGCCACCTATACTACCAATACTAATCTACAAATAATTCCATCACCCACCCATGGTTATTAAGTTGTGGCGTGCCAGGTGCGGATTTTTTATTGTGGTTTAAGGTAGGATTGGTAACACTACTGTCACTTGCAGACCTGCTGAGCGATTCCTCTTCGGCGGCACTGCCTCCCGAATTTCGATGATGCCTTGATCCATTCAGCAGTCTGGGAGAGTTCGTCAGAGAAGGGTTATTTTGACCTGACTGTATTCCTTTTATGGCATCTTCAAGGTAACCCTGATACCTTGATAAATCTTGTTGGAGTTTTTCTAGTCTATGGCTACATTCGTTTAACTGACCTGAAATTTAAAAGACAGTTGAAACATAAGTAACTAAAATCACTGCAAATATTTTTTTCTAATAAGTCTCATCACTGATATCGGTGTATATCAGGTTTTTCAATAAACCATTAAGATCGCTCAAGGTTAATACACCAGAGATATAAATGTTTATATTACAGAGTAGTCTCTTGTATACATGTTAATTGTCAATGTTCATTCATAATACATTTTTTGGGGTATGCCTGGACGAAAAACTCCATTTCCAGCATTCATGTTGGAGAGTTAGAATTAAGAATTGCCTCAGGTTGTTATGCACTGTGTACAATTGCAAATAAATTGGGAATCGACCATGACTTGATTGAATCACTTTACAATATGAAGTCGCATTTTGGAGAAATTGTAAACAAGAACATTTCAACTCAATGTTTGTTATACAAAAGCGTGCTATTTGCTATTTTTGTAAAGTAACTCTAAGGGTATCTCATAAAGAATTATTCAAGGCTAATAAGTTGTTAACTCTATTTTCATTGCCAGTTCTCCTAACTGCCTGTTAAGTACTCAAAAACAAATCGATATACAAAATCACTGATGGAGTCCCTCCCAAAAAAATTACATAAAACTACCAATTCCAAAAACAAATTAAACGTAATGTATTTATATGCCAAAATATCCAATCATCTACCCACAAAAATTAAACATTCTGAAATATATAATCTGTTCACAAAAAATAAGAAAAACTCGCCTGAGTCTCGTTTCACATAGTGTTTCAGAATTTTTTGAGACAGTGCTCATCAATTTATTCACCAAATCAGTGCCTATATTGTTCATACTGTTTGTGTTTTTATTGGAAAGAAAACTTGAAATGCTGTTCAAACAGCTTTCAAAGTAAGATACTAGTTCTTTGCAAACAAATGCTGGCAGTTACTTAGAGATTTGAATAAACCAGAAAAAAATTACCAACAGAAATAATTTTAATTTTTGATACTACAGCTAATAACAAACCGAATATGATATTATATGATAGATCATCAAAAGCAGTATTAGGATAACATTGCCATAATGTGAACCAGTAATGATACTGTCAAAACACAGAAGAACAAATGAAATATTTCTATTTTTTACATAAAAAAAATAAAAAAAGGTATGAGAGAGTGATACTCATCAGAAAAACAATGTAACGATTTGTGTAACTTTGTTTGCAGGAAGTACAGAAGAATAGTAATGAGGAAAATATCGCTTATAATAGTGTCAGTCATTCAATATATATAAACATAGTTACATACATTATATACATGTGAAAGAAAGATGCTAAAAGAAATACAGGATAATGGTCTTTAGTTCAAGAATCATTTTCGGAAAAAATATTTTAGTCTATAAATAAAGGACAAAACACAAGCACTACAGGAAAATCCTTAAGGCACTCTTAAAATGGTGCCTTGCGAAAGTAGTGATTCACATTGGATTTGAATCACTGGAGATTAAATTCATTTGGAAAAACGTTCTCATACTCCACATAAACGCAGTTTATGTAGTTATGTTAAGTAGATAAATTTTCACAAAACTTGAACTCATTGAACTGCTTTGGATTTTGAATAAATAGACACCAGAAATCGATTTTAAGTTTTTCTCTTCTTGAAGCTTCTATGAGATTTTGGAATGAAGATATATTTCAAGTATTAGGACACTTTCAATTGACATATTAACATAATTCTGCCATTGGAAGAACGTTATATTATAGCAAAACATAAAAAAATATACATGATTTTCTGTGCTGTTTTTAAAATCAAAACTGCTAACATTAATGTTATATTTGAATAATTTACATACATCTCTCATGAACATTATTTGAACAAAAATAAACCAGTGGAAACAAATTACCAGAAGATGACAGGTGTTCGGTAGCTTTCAAACGATATGTTTCACACCGTATTGAAGTTTTGAACAATTGACGTATATCTGCTGTGAAGAAACTCATCAATAAATTGGATCAGATAGGTATAAGAACAATTATTAGCAGACGACTTATAGGACAAGTTTAAAGATTGCGATCATTTTTCTGATATACACTTGATCCTATTTATCAAAATATTTTATGACGTGTACATATCAATTGTTGAAAATTTGTGTTTTTCATGACAATATCAAACAAATGTTTGCAAACTTCCTTGCAGCTGGAATCGTCTGCCATTTTGTTCGCCCTGGTTATTTTTTTTAAATAATGAAGCTCTCCTCTCAAACACCAGAGCTGCAACACTTTTCTGGACGCATGTTTCTTCATCCAAATTGCATACAGTTCTGGTATTTGGGAGCAGTCTTCATTTTGGATTTATTCTACACCAGAGGTTCCAGTTCTACCTCCAGTTTGAAATAATGTACTTATAGATATAGCAAATATATGTAAATCATTCAAACATCACATAAATGTTCTTGTGATGCACTATTTGGTACCTTTGGTGTAGTAATGAATATTACTGGAGTTTTTTCCCAACACCAAACCGTTATTTTAACACCTCGACATGTATTTCGATCAACAAGTGATTATCTTCAAGAGGAAGATCAAACTGTTTGATCTTCCTCTAGTAATATTCATCACATAAATGTTGTCAATTTAATTTTGAAAATGAGCTGGAACATCACAGGTGGGATTGGAAAAATAGTCGTTTCCATCATCTTTTGCAATGAATAAATGGTTCTTCCAATGGCAGAATTATGTTAAGTCACAGTGTATCTGTGGATTGAAAAAATAGTCGTTTACATCATCTTTTGATGATGTGTGAAATTTCTCAGTTTTGAAAAACAAAAATTTCTAGTGAACCGATATGAAAAACGGTTTTAAAAACAGGTTACAAAACTACAAGTGTATTGAAGTTAAAATAGATTTCTAAATTTTTTAGATTTCATAATTTGTAATCAAGCAAATATACTCCAATATTTCTTACTTTCAATGGTCCTCGGATCTCCGAGAGCAGGGTTATTCTCATATACAATTTTCATTTTCATAAGTCCATCTCTGGCTGCAGTCTCTTGAGCCACTTTACTCCTCAGTTCTTCCACTTTGAGAGTTAACTTTTTTCGCCTCTGATTTGGTGGTAATTCACTTAAATCCTCCTTTCCATCCGACAAAGTAGCATTCTTTAAGAGAAAACTTGCATTTTAGTAAAATTTAAATGAGTTACATCAACGAAGGCCAAAGATTACACATGTAATCTTGAAACAAATGAAGTGGAAATCAACATTTATTAAAAATTTTTGAATAATTTCAACCTTTTCCTGCAGAACATTTCATTTGTTTTCAAGTTACATCTGAATAATTCATCCCAATTTACAAATTGTTAACAATCTTCATAATGAGAATGTACAAACAATAAAATTATAATTGAGTAGAACTGGCGGGTACTTGATGAAAATCTATATTAAAGAACTAATATAGAGAAGTTAAACAAACACTGATTCCTAAGAAGTGTAAACTGCACTCTTTGATCAATTGTCGATTTCCACTTATGAAATCACTAGTAGGATGGGAGCAAGTTCGATTTCTGAATGTTTTTGAAGATTTAAAATTCTTCTAGTTTGGGACACGATGATGGTTTTTATGAACCTTGTATAGAGCTGAGCGACTTTATGAAGGAAGTTGATCAGGTGTCAATTACTGTGTTTCGACTTTTTAGGGTTGCTGTGCATAGAAGCAAAACAGGACATATTAAAAAACCAATTTTGAATTCGTTTATATCAACCTATCAACATATTTTCTTCCGGCGGAGATTACAGCCTGAAAATTTATGCACAAGACTGAATGATTGCAAGTCGATTCTCTACACAAACAACAATTTGTCAACCTATCCAATGTTGTAGAATGAAAATGACAAGGACAGATTCCCTTGGGGCCTTTGTTTATATCAGAAATTCGTCTGATAGTAACCGTGATGTAACTGACCAACCATACTGATGTCAGAATAAAGAAACATCAAGAGGAAATGAAGAAAGTGTATAAATCTCAAGATACTATTTTTTGAAAAAATATAATTTGTAGGTATTCTGTTATATAGGTATAATCTGAAAACAAGTCGGAGAAAAAATATTTGCAGAAAACACATTTTTCATAAATACTGTCAGGGTTATTAACTTTACTAGCTACAAACAAATCCGATCATGAACTATATTAAAAATGGTCATGGATATTCACAAACACTAAATATAATTTTACTGATAAACAAATTCTACAAAATAAGAAAAACATAAGTACATAGCTATATCGAAAAAACTGACACCACTTAAAATATTTTAACCAAAACAATTGTTTCACGTTTTCACAGTTACATTTCCGAATAAAGAAAGCTTATGAATTGAAAATGGAAATTATATGAAATGATTAAATGAAAGCTAAGAAGCACATACCTTTATTGCCATACAGACTTCAGAAAGCTTCTGTTTGCATGAAAAAAATAAAAAGCATATCATACATGCAAAGAAAGTATAGTGTTCAATGCCCATAATGAACTCAGTTCTAAGTGAGCATATATTGAGTCCAGGTATGTAATGGGCAGTGCGGACGTGAATAGTCCCTAACCTCCCTTAACTTTTCAGACAAAATTTGTATAAAAAAACTTTTTAGTACTTTTTGCTACAAAAAAATGGTGTGACATCATTTGCCGATATCCACCTTTTTTCAAATAGAAAGTGGGTCTCGTGACCCTTTGCTGCATAGTTACCTCAATTCTCCATACAACGACCGTTACTGTTTTGAATTTGGATAACCGGTTGCAGAGTTATTTGTGTATGAATTGAAGACTAGAAAACTGATAATTCGTAAAAGAGGATCGAAACAGTCCCAAAGTTAGTTATAACAGTTTATAAAAAGTTTATAATGTATAAGAGAAAGAAATGATTCGTATTTAAAATGAAATTCAATCAAAGTATTCGACAAGAAAGAGCATTTCTGTTTTCAATCCGATTTAGAATTTTTTTTATGATCAACTAGCTGTCACTATTGATACTGAGAATTCCCTTAATCTTATTTCATTTGAATTTTCGAAAATCATTGTACCAGATCTTTAGAGGAGAAAACAAGCAATACTTATTTACTTTGAGGACAGCCCTAACTAACTTGAGGCAGTAAAAGCGTTCTATGCAAGATTTATTGATAATCCGATGTGTCGAATATATCTCTGGGAACTGGTTGAAAAATTTCAAACAACTGAAAGTATAGCTGGAGCCAAAAGAGCTGGAAGAAAATCTATCTAAGACAAGAAATGAATAAAAATTGTTGCGTCTGTAGTGAATAAACCCCTGCTGTTACACCCCTGAAAACTGAAGATATTACATCAAATAAACGAAGATGACTTGAACAGAAGAATGTAGTTTCGTGAGTTAATGTCCAAAAGTTTGACTGCAAATTGAAACTATATAATAGAGACGAATGCACTTTTTTTCTTAAATGGAAATGTCAACCGCCAAAATGTATGGTATTGGTCAGACATAAACCCACTCAAACTACTGAGAAAATAATGGGCTTGTTTCATGCTATGGAAAATGATACTGGTTTGCTTATAGACTGATCGAGTTAGGGGTATATTATACTTATTAAGCCTAATCGGTCCCAAAATCTCTTTATATTTGCAGAAAAAAGATCAATTTGAAAAGCAAGAATTTAAATTGGCTGCGTGTCTATTGACCAATAAAATTTATCGTGTCTAGAGCGGAGTTGCCAGGTGTATTGGTTTTTAATAACAATCACCGATCTGATGATCCAATTTGACAGACGCCATTTCTGTTGTTATTGTTGTCATCTCGGAGTGAAAACAACTGTTACATTTATCTAATTTAAAAATTGGTTAATAGATGAGTAATTTCATATAATGAGTTTAGGTTCCCAAATGATAAAATGCTGAGAAAAATAAATTAGTGAAAGAATTGAAAGGAAAAACTACAATCCTTCTACTCTTCAAGGACTTTATATATAAATGAGTATATAAATGACAGGGGGACGAGAATATTGAATTTGATGACACAGTTTTTCATTTCAACTTCAAGTATTCTCCTCAGAAAGTATTATCTGGAGTTAATACTGTTGCTGAAAGTATGATACATTTTACTTCATTAAATTTCATCATATGATTAATGGTATTACCTCAGAAGCTTTTGTTGGATCAGTTCGAGTACAATCAATTCTGTCTATACTTGACCTCATTCAACCTTCTTCTCAAGTTTTGGAAGATTCAACAGATTACCCAAGCGAGCCTATAATACTTGAATTTAGTAGCAATATTGGAAAGAGGTATGTATGTAGGAATCTTTTTTTTATAATAAATTGTAGTTGTACAGATTGAGGATTGTAGAATAAATTGAATATGTGAAATTATTCTTTAATCCAGTTTGCTATATTTTTTGATTTTCATAACTGTATATTATTAAATAATGCATAAAATCATAGTTTAGGTAAATATTTTGTGATCTTTCGACTTTGTGTACTAATTTTAGATATAGAACTTATTTCCAAACATGATTTTTCGTGTACATTTTATTCCATGTGGAAAATGTTTCATTAATTGAAACGTTAACGGGTTCATATACACTTCCATAATTGAATTGATAATTATAGGCTTCGTAAATTTCACGATTTGGCAATGTTAATTATTTTTATTGTCCCTATTGGTCAATCGAACAAGAAGCAGGAATAGGGCCGTGACGTCACCGCCCTACCAAATTCGATTTTTAATAATTAATTACGGGAAAACTACGGCATTTAGAGAGCTGAAACAAAGTGCACTGTTTTTCAATTTGAAATTTCTATCAAGTGAACTATAAACCAAAAATCATGAAACATGCCCATTGCCTGGGCAGAAATATTGGGAAATCCATTTGTTGGTCCCATATATCTGGAGAAGAATTCGACTGGTGATTTATATTTGGAAATTCTTCAAAATCTCTTTCATCTCCGGATTCGGAAAATTGTTGCCAATAATCAAGATGAATTCAAAAATCAGTTGTTTTCCATCAAGACGGTGCGACACCACATTTTTACATTTTTTCAGTCCTGCAAGTGTTTGGTTGGATCAGACATACCCAACCTGTGGATTTTTAGGAGCGGTTCGTTGGAATAGCTCGTTCACCGGATTCAGCTCCTCTCGATATTTTTCTTTGGGACTGTATTGAATTGAAAGTTAATGTTACACAACCTAAACAATACGAGAACTTAAGAGACAGAATTAACGAAACTTTGCTATCATTACCCCAGAGACATTCCAAAATATCAGAAATGAGTTTGAAAGTAGACTATTTACTGTAAGGAGATTCAAGGAGATTTGCTCAAATGATTTTTTAAAGTTCAAGATGAATAATAACGATTATAAAATTAAGTGCTATCTTTTTATGACCTTGAAATTAACACTTATCTATTGCAAAATATGTCATTGATTTATTTCTCTTTCCAATGTATTAAAAAAAACTTTATTGTGAGATTTTCACTAAAGTGACAATCCATAACGTATTGTGAGATTTCATCACATTTCTCTTTCCAATAGCGATTTATCTAAAAAAATCTAACATAGGTTGGGGGAGTTACGGTATTCGTAGTCCCAAATTCAAACATCAATAACTCCACAACCGGTTATCATAATTTAAATAAGTGAGGGTCATTATATAGACTTGTATGGAGAATTGAAATACCTTCCACACAAAATGTCACAAATGTTCCCCTTTCCAGTTGAAAAACTTATTGATAGGCCATCTTGGCGGCAAGTGATGTCACAATATTATTTTTTTAACAAAAAGTACCAAAAATGATACTCCCTCATACAAATTTTGTCCGACTGTGATATCGTGTCCTGTTCGAATGTTAAGAGGGGGGAAGGGGAACTACGTACGTCCGCACTGTACATCTGAGCTATATTAGGTCTATTGGTTTTCATTAGTTATTTTTCAACAACAAAACTGGGTTCACCACAATTCATGTTAAATCTGAGAACATGATAAAACAAATCCCAAAGTCAACCGCAAATAGATAACATCGGGGAGAAACCAGAAACCATATTAACGTTGTGGAAATCATTATACTCGAAAAAGGGGATAGCTTTTCCTTCAAAACAGTTATACGAATTTTATAAATATAAATTTCTCAATTGGCAGTTAAGAAACTGACCTGTTGCACAGTGTCAGGCACACAAAAGTAATATACCCACATGCTTCAATTTCACACTAGGCAATCTCAAATTACCATTAATAGAATTATGTTAAAACTGCTGGTTTATTGTAATATGAACTTGTACAATTAGAATCAAGGGAAAATTGATTTAAAAAAACGTGAAAAATTGGAAGAAAACTAGCTCTTCTATTCTTTTGAAAATGTTTAACAAAACTAGATGATTTGATAAATTATATAAGCAGGTGATAATTTCAGAGTCCAGCAGAATAAACAAATATAAGTTCTCCACATTTTGCATTGCATTACGAAGTAGAAAGCCAAAAAGCATTTTTCCCAAAAACTAATCTCTCATATATACATTTTCAATTTAAATAGGATTTAATTAAACAACCGCAGGAATTTTTTCATCTGTCATGTCATCTGTCATCAGGACATGAGCAAAATTGTCCCTTTTAACATAAGTATGATAGATTACCATGTAAGTGAAATTTTATATCGACATTTTTCATATATTACGTGGTGTAGTGTTCCTGTAATTGATATTTGTTTCAACTCCAATGTTTAGAGTGTAAACTAAATGGGAAAAGTGATTTTCATTTAATTCAATGTTGATACTTTGAAAATAGTGGTTTCAAATAGATTTTATCTTCCAGTTAATATTTAAAAAACTAAAAATCTTTGTAGAGTTTATTTTGTACTCAATCACTTCACTCCTTTCTTTAGAGTTCACTATATTTTTGTATAGAGATGGAGAAGTAGAAAGACAAAATGCTTTTTTCCTACTACTTATTTTGAACACACTATTTACACATGCCATGCTTTGTTCTTCATCATTCCAAGGAATAATTTTCCCCTCATAATTTTTTTTAAGTGTTTGTCAGATTTTCACAGATTATATGATTATCCATTACAGGAATTTATTTATTATGATTATACCGTTGACATATTATCAATGTTAATTATATCAGACCAATTGAATTTTTAAAATTGCTGAGATTAAAAATATTTGTTGGAGAACGTTAGTTATAGATTTTCATCAAGTATCGGCCAATTCCATCATATATGAAATAATGAAATGAATTAGAAATGAACATTACTGAATACGAGAGTTAAATTTTGATTCAAATACGATTTGAATACACTAAGCCGTTACTTGGTAAACATCAATAACACTAGTCATGATATTATAAATTTTCTCAATATGGACATTATTTTCAACGGTAGTTTCCTCCACTTGTTCAAGTGAGAAAATTACTAGTGTAATGGAACATGTATTGGAAATAAAGTCTATATTGTGAAAATTTGTAATCATTATCATAATACAATTTGAATAATTGACCATGCAATCATTCAAGTTGTATGTAAATTAAAATAAATTAAAATTGATCTCTCTTATCTCCCAAATATATTCAAAAATGTAAAAGGTTCACTTCTAATTTATGGAAATGAACGATATTGAAATATGTCGATGAAAGTGAAATTAAACAGTAAGAGTTCGGGTTGAACCGCGTCTGGAGTTTTATGTTCGACGTTTCGGCTCCCATTTTGGAACTATTTTCAATAATTTGTGGATTGGCGCCGGGGCCTCAATCTGCCTACTCCCCAGGTCAGAAAAATGAATGTCAACACATTTCGGTAAATTTTTAAAGCTTGTGGTATTTTTGCAAATAATTACTTTCTAAAGTTGATATTTAATTCCATCTAAGACTACTTACTACTATTCAATGTGTTTCATCAAATTCACATCTTGAATTGAGTAGAATATATTCTAAATTACTAGACAAATATACCATTATTTGCATTACAGTGTTCACTTACTGATAATGTTGAGTGCCAAATAAAATATGAATGATAAAAGTGTACTTAAACACATTCCTGAAAATTTACAACGCCCTTAGCAATAAACGTGCATCACACAAAAATATTATTTACAAGAAAAATTACAAACACACAATTACTTTTCACTTGCACTACAACATGCACATAATAATGATCAAAAATTACTTACTACACAAGGGGTCAAAGGCCCATCACAAATGAAGATCATCACCAAAGAGAGAAACGGAAGAGAAAATAAAAAAAGAAAAGTGTTACAATTTTACAAAATGCAGTTATAGTTATTGACAAATAAGGAAAAGATTGATTCTGTAACATATTCAACAGAACCCAATTGTAAATTAATTACTTTAATTTATCAATTCAGAAATACAATTAAAAAAAATTATTTCATCAATACTATTATACCTATTTTACAAAAAAAACATGTTTTTCTTAAAATCACTTGTCAACTTCGATATACATATTACTTTATCTATAAAGGTAAATCTCGAGATATCTTTATATGATGTAAATTTTGTGGTGATCTGATTTCAGTTTGTTTCATTTTTTAGACCATCTGCATGAAAACTTGCTTTTGCATTTTTTTTTGTTACTAGTGATTCATTTTTCAATTGTTGCTGAACATGTTCCTTAGTCTTTTCATTTCATCTTATGAGTTTCTGTTGCATGGTCAGTTCCTACAAAAATTTTCCGAACACCACCAAAATATCCCTATCCCTAACCATTGCTGAGTTATAAATTTTTAAAATTGGTATGACCGTCGTCTTGTTTTCTACCATTTTGACCTTGTACTTGATATCTTTATCATGGGGGAGGTGCATAAAACAGACATAGTTCACAATTTTGTGGGAGTCTGTCTTATTGAATTTATAGTGACTTTATTTTATTTTCGTATTATTTTGAGTAAACCCTTTCACTTCATACCCATATCACAGGTGTGCATGAAAATAACTAGTTTACCGGCTTGCACGATCTGCAATATTGGCTTAATAAGGATGTTAATTTTCATTTTCCTCAAAATAAATTTTATTATTTATTCATCAATTTTCATTTTGTCCCCTTCAAAGTAGTCTCCCTCAAATATAATACACTTATGCCTGCGTTTTTTTCAATCCTTGAAGTAGTTCTGATATGCATTTTTTAGAATGTCTTTGAGCTCTCTTAGCATTTCATTTTTTATATCCTCAATTTTCGTAAAACTCCGTGTTTTCATGGGTCTCAGCAAATTTTGAGAACAGGAAAAAGTGGCAGGGGGCCAAATCTGGTGAATACGGTGGCTGAGGCATGGTTACAGTGTTATTTTTGGTGAAGAAATTACGAGCAAGCAATGTATTGTCACAATACCGTATATTTTCTTTGTATTGCTTCTCGCGGAACATAACTTCAATAAAATACTCCTTACTGATCATACGACGATGTGACAAGAACTCCTTATGCACTACTACACGATATTCGAAGAAAATATTGTGGAAACCTTAACATTTGATTGAGCTTGGACTGCTTGTTTTGGTCTTGGCTCTCTTGAGCTCTTCCATTGGGACGATGTCATAATCATATACCCATGATAAGTCACCAGTTATGGAGCGCCGTTGGCGTCATTCAACAATTCCTGAACGATGCTCTTGCGACAGTTTTTTTGGTCGAAATTCAGCAATTTTGGCACGATCTTCGCTGTAACACGCTTCAGTCCAAAATTTCCGAAATTCCATTCGACGATTCTCTGTAAGAATTTTCTTCACTTGCTCAACGTCTTCATCGGTTATTGATATGCTGGGGCGTCCAGGGCGAGCGCCATCATTCATATCTTCTCGACCTTCTGTGAAGAGCTTGTACCACTTGTAAACAGAGTACACTCAGCGTATGCCACTGCTGTCATTTCAGATGTTTCTGAGCACTCAATTCCATTTTTTACATAAAATTTGATGCAAATTCTTTGATTCCTAACACGGGTTGGACGATAGCAAGTGAAAATTGATTGTTCAGCCTGGGGCTTAAACCACCGATCAACATGGCGGTCGATTCGAGTGAGTAAGCAAAGCACCCAATTCGAACCGACCGGCTACCGACCGATTCATCAGACACTTGGCGTATTTAATGATTTTGAAGATAATATTGATGATATCAATCAATATGAATAATTTTTATATTAACCATTTTGATAGCAAAATGCTGTTTCGCAAATCGCATTTGGTAATCAAGTCAGCATCATCAGGAGATGACTAAAACTGTTTTTTTCAAGTATCTAAATGCTTTCTCTAAAATTATTTTATAAGCAATCTTTTTAGTTTGTCAAGGTATATCTAAATGATATGGGGTATTATTGAACTCTCCTTATTTTTTGTTTATATTAGTTATTTTGTTACTCATTTATTAAAGAGAATAAACTGTGGTAATCATCAGAATTTATTTATCAATTATTCTCCAACACCTTTATAAAATATGTAAACTTCACCACCAAAGATTACTATAGATAACACCATGACTAATACATACTAGGATATTCTCAATGTGTCAATATTACCTGGTTTTTCCAAGTAATCAGTAATCTCTTTTGTTTATTGAACTGATGTTGAAACAGACAAATAAGAAATAGATAACATACCCCTCTACTGCCAAAAATATTGAACAGGCCTGTTCTTTTCTTCATTGCTTTACTGGTAATTGTTCCTTTCACTGTATAACCACCGTCTTTCAATTTGCTACTGACTTGAAGATTATTGATGTTATTCGCACTTCCTGAATCACTACCACCTTTAGAGAGATCTTCAAATGGGAAATCTTCTGGAGGTTCAAAGCCAGACTTATATTTTTCTATCACAAGTAAAGTGTCCTAAAACAAACAAGAAAGTGGATACTAAAACTGTTTCAAACTAACCTTTGTAAAATATTTTTTCTTTAATTTGTATACCATGTATTTTGAAAATGAAGCCTCACAAAATACTGCTGAATTCGCCAACTAAACCAACTTCCTATACATTAAATTTAACAAAATTGCAAAGTTATTGAATGAAATTGAATAAATAGAGCCCTAGGAATTTCATTTGTCTCAAGAAATTATTTGATTCAGAGTTACTCCTCTTCGTAAACTTAATTTTTTACCAACAATTAATGAAATTAAATGTAATTATAATATTAATGTAAATTGTATTGTAAATGGGTTTGTCACTGTGAACATGAAGATTTCATTTCAACTGCATTATTATTAGATTCCAGTGGTTTTGTGGCAAATTTGATTTATAGTGATAAAGTATCTTTGAAATCCTAATAAAATTAGGTCTACAGTGGTTTTATCTATACATTCTTTAGTAAAATTATGCGAGTCATATCCGTAACCTTTTTTGTAAGTCAAAGTGTAGTGTTTCCACACAGGCACTAGTACAAGGATAATCGAACGCATTATTAAAGATAGGTACATAAAACAACATTAGAAAGGTTCTCATTTCAAAACCCATAATTTCAAATGTACAATATTTTGTTTTATCGCAAGTCAATATCTACCAGTCAAATGGAAAATGTTCAATTAATGATGGTTTTCATGTTATAAATGTCGACTACGGTGAGTCATCCAGAGAAAATATCACTATGTGGGCTCGAATTTATATAATGCTACCTAGAACATAAAAAATTATTCAAATTATTGATTTGGCCAAATTGTTAACACATTTTTAAAGATAGGTACATAAAACAACATTAGAAAGGTTCTCATTTCAAATCCCATAATTTCAAATGTACAATATCCTGTTTTATCGCAAGTCAGTATCTACCAGTCAAATTGAAAATGTTCAATTAATGATGGTTTTCATATTATAAATGTCGACTATGGTGAGTCATCCAGAGAAAATAATTGTTTTTTCAAACAACAACAAAATATCACTATGTGGGCTCGAATTTATATAATGCTACCTAGAACATAAATAATTATTCAAATTATTGATTTGGCCAAATTGTTCTTTTTCATAATTGAACAGATTGTGTTCGGATTCACACAGCTATAAGGGTGCCAAATAAAAATGAATTTATAGGCTACATTATAAAATTAAGACTAGTAGATAAGGCAACATGGTGAAATTAATTTAAGACATACTTAGCAAAGGTACCTATGGTATAAATAAGGACAATATTGTATGTATATTTAGTTCAAACTTTCTCTTGAAGATGATCACTTGGTGATCGAAACCCGTGTGGTAATATTCATCACATAACCTTGTAGATAAATTCGCCCGATCCTTCAACAATAAGAGACTGGTGGAATATTTTTTATATTGAAGTATTTGACCAAAAAAGGGAAAGAATTGACCATAATTGACTGGATCTACGCCATGCTCATAAATAGAAAGCTATCACAACTCTTCAAAATGAGGCCTTGGGATTCAAGATCATTGTGGTGTTCTCTTCATCAAGAGAAGGAATCTGGATAATTAAACTTCAATTTCTTTCAATGGTGATGTTATTACTTTTGTAGTTGAAGTGAAACATCTAGTTATTATTCTCGATGAAAATTAATAGCACTATCCATTATAATGATTATACAATTTTTGCACTATAAATTTTATTCAACACACGTTTCACTACACGGTTGCTTCATCAGTAGGACTGGTACATTAAACTATTTTACAATGTCTTTCATATGACATTAGGTAATTACAAAATTTGAAAAGCATATTTTGATGAATCACATACCTGCACAGCGTACCTGATTAAATCAGCCATACCTGAGATATTTTTTATTTTTGATACTCGTATTACTTAAAGAATATGAATCAATGTTGAAACACTTGCCTTTTAATCAGTATTGTTATCAGGTTATTATATTTGAAATTATTGCAAATGCTAAAGATAGGCGACTTGAGATACAAATTGGTTCTGGCCAGTCGGCTGTAAAAAGTTTTTGTACTTCTAGTTCTAAAATGAAGCACACAGAAATTTATAAAAGAGAACACCTCCATAGCGTCCACATTGTTGTGCAGTAATTTATACAGAAAAAATATTCCAGCAAGTTTTCTTTGTAATTCAAGACTTTCAATATTGAATGTTATGGTAAGAGATTCATATGGAATACCTCTATTAGGATAGATACCATAAGATTTGAAGTAAATACCTAGCTACCTGTTTCAACAGAATCAATCCAATCACCCACTGTTATATAAAAGACATTGTAGATTAGTTTGATGTACCAACCGATGAAGCTATAGTATAGTGAAATGCGTGTTGTATAGAATTTATATATAGTGTGAAAATTGTATATTTATTATCATGGATAAATAATTGTTAGACTATAGCAGAGATGACCTACAACCTACATTGTCTAACAGGTTTACTCACAGGTCAATGTCGTCTGAATTTACAAAGACTTGAACGGTGAAAAGACAATCCGGGCCATGTCTCCGCCACGGATCGAAAGTGGATTTCAGTGTTTGGCAGATTTCGACATCTGACTTGAAAGATCATTCATCAAATAAATTTATCGGCTTTCAAGAAGCTGGACTCATTTGTTCGAGTTTGAATTGTTGTGAGTCACAATAAACCACCGCTAGTCATAGAGAAGGGTCATATAGATTCATTCATTTTAGATCTAACCAGAGTTTAATTAAAATATTACTTTGAGCAGATTAAAATAAAAAATTATTCTGACAAATGAATTACAGAAAGCAATAATACAAGTGCAAAAACCTGTCATATATGAAATTGCATTTAAATATGATAGTGCTGAGACCAGCAAAATTACTTGGAACATTCTTCCCTAGTTATTCATTATCAGCCATTGTATAAACTGCAATATTGAAAAGAAAAACAAAATATTTCATAAAAAAACCGTTAACCCTGTTATTTTTTGTTATTTTATATCATTATTTTTAAGAGAAAATGTTTTCAAACTCTTGTTTTAAAAATATCTAATGAAAATTTTATCTTACCTCCTTTTCATTTATTATATCGGCAGCTTTGAGTATTCCGTCCAAACATTTATTTATAATAGGAAACACATTTCGCTCGATTTCCACTGATGACTGAATAAAATTTTTGATATTTTTAATTCTCTTCTCGTCTAAGTCTTGCAACTGCCTAAAAACTTCTGGCAATCCCGATCTACAAAAAAGTCAGGAAAAAACACATGATATTGTACAACTAAAAAAACTAATATCAAAGAATATTGATTTATATCAAAAAACTTATGCAATACCTAAAATGTTGTCTTTGCAATTCATTCGTCCTCTGTAATTGTTGAGCATATTCGTTCTTGGCCGAATCGCAAACCTGCGTTTTGTGTGACATGTTCGATCTCTGTTTTTCAACTTCTGCTCTTGACAAATTGAAATCGGCGTCAGCTTTTTGAAAACCATCGATGGCTTTCTCGGATTCTTTGAATGCTTTGTCATAGGATTTTTTCGCCCTTTGAAGAGTTTCTATTTGAGCCTGCAGTGTTTGCGAAAGTCTTAAACCCTCTTGTAATTGTTTCTGAAAAATTAATATAGGTAAATACACAAAATTACACAAATGCATATTACGAAAACTAACAACTTGAACTGAAACTTTATGAACATTGCCTTCAAGTGGTTCCCTGATGAGAGACGGCGTTGAGAAAGCCTTGAAAAAGTATTTTCCCAAATGATATCGCTCAATCTTGAGGATTTTAGGAATTAGTAAATTTTTATCCTATAACAAATTTTGAACTATCTCACAGAAAACACAGTTTCAAGCAGGTATAAAAAGAGATATTTTTATCTCATATTCTATGAATTAAGTCCAATCCATCATGCACAATGAGGCGATTTTTCAATGTCATTCTTGACCTGTTTTCAAGATGCACTTCTTGGTATGCTACTACTCGGATTTATACAGTGCGGACGTAAATTGTCCCCCTTTTAACTTTCGATCGGGACAAGATATCAGAGTCGGACAGAATTTTCGTAAAAAGGAAGCATTTTTGGTAATTCTTGATTAAAAAATCCAATGGTGTAATACCACTCGAAGCAGAGAGGGCGCGACCATTTTTATGGAAAGGGGATATTGTGACCCTTCGCTCGAAACGTAATTCAATTTTCTATACAACGACCTTTACTGTTTTGAATTTGAATGACTGGTTGCGGAATTATTGGTGTTTGAATTGGAGATTACGAAAAATGATAATTCATAACTTTGCAACCAAAATATTGTTGTGAATCATGCCCTAAAAAAAATAACGCCGGTCGCCACTGGTAGCCATGAATCAATTGTGACGTAGCTAAGAGCGCGCGAATGTACGATGTTCGCAGCCGCTCTAGATGCATCTAGAATAATGCTACCGATTTCGATTGCATTCCGGCGAGATTTTTTAGCGCATTCGATTACGATATATAAACGCTACCCACGAGCATATCGACACAGTCAAGTGGTAGTTACAATGCGGTACGCGAAGCGATCAAGTAAGACGATAGACATTCAAATAATAGTTGAAGTTTTAGTTGAAGTGTTTATTGTATTCAAAGTGAAATAAATACAGTTAAGTTTTATTATTCGGTGTAGTCAATTATTGGTCAACCCACGGGGAAAAACGTAACAATATGATTGAAACAACTCCAAAGTTAATTATCACCAGTTACACAAAGTTTGTAATGTAAGAGATATACATTTTTGACGTTTTTAATCCGATTCAGGATTTTTTTGTGATCGACTATGCATATAAGAATCCACACCGTGTTATCCTAGTAGCACCGTGTTACCCTAGCGTTAACGCTATACTATTGATACTGGGAATTTGCTTCATTTCACGAATTTTTATTTCGTTTGAATTTTGAAAACTATTTCGCATCAGATCTTAAGAGGAAAAAAAGGAAGCAATCATTGTTTACGCCGTGGCCGATCGTAATTTTCATGAGGCAGAAATGGTGTTCAATGCAAGATTTCCTGATAATTAGAACTACTGAAAATATCTTTAGGAATTGATTGAAAAATTTCAAACAACTGGAAGTTTGGCTAAAGCTAGAGGAGCTGGAAGAAAATTTATCTCGGAAAAAAAAAGATAAAAATCGTTGGGTCTTTAGTGAATAACCCCATGCAGCCCACCACAACAGTTGCTCGTGAGAATGATGTCTCAACAAGCACCGTCAAAAAATACCTCAGGAGACATAAGTTTCACCCTATAAACTGAAGATATTACGTGAATTGACTGAAGATGAACCTGACAGATGAATTCAGTTTTGTGAGTTAAGTTCCTAACGTTTGATTGCAAATCTAAACTGTATAAAAAGTATTTGCTTCAATGACCAGATATATACCCACATATTTTTTAAGGTCACATTCAAATTATGGAGAAAATAATGTCTGGGCAGCAATTCTGGGAAATCATATTGTTGGTCCCATATATCTAGGAAAAACTGACTGACGATTTATATTTGCAAAATCTTCAAGACCTCATTCGTCCACGGATTCAAGAAATTGTAGCATAAATCAAGGTGAATTTGAAAATCCAGTTACCCAGGCATGTGGATTGTTACGCGCGGTCTGTTGGATTTGACTCCTTTAGATTTTTTCTTTGGGGCTATATCAAAAAATTTATGTTAGACAACCTGTACAATATTGGAACTTACCGAAACCTGTGTTAGCATTACCCCAGAAATGTTTTTTTTTGTGAGGATTTTCAAAGAGAGCATTTTGAACTTTTGCTCAAAAGATTTCTCATATATAAGATGAACAATACTGAGGTAAAAAAATGATATCAACACATATCTTTCCATTGAACATTCATTTCAAAAAACCTGACAGGGTGGCGGAGTTAAGAGAGTCCTACTTCCAAATATAAACATCAATAACACCGCAACCGGTTATCGAAATGGCAGAAGACCCCCCTTCCATTTGAATAAAAAGCTGGTAGCGACCTCTGGGCGGCAAGTTATGTCACACCATTTTACTAAAAATTATTCCTTTTTACAAAAATGTTGTGCGACTCATATATCACACCTCGTTCGGAAGTTAAGAGGGGGGGTATATTTACATCCAAACTGTAGTCGTATATTGTCTTGGTGTTAATTATACATATTCTTCATACAAAGGAAACGGTATTTATACGCCCTTAGTCATCATTTTGTTCTGCTGCTGGCCCCGGTAAGTTTGCTGCTAATGCTAATTTCGTCATTGATACATAAGGCCTCTCGTCTCCCGTGGGTTGGGCTACCTATCAGGTGCGTCCCCAGGTGGCGGATAGGGGAACGGCCAGGGGACTGGAGGCCCTGTCCGGGAAGCCAAAGTGGCCTTACGGACGGGGTCGCCCGACTCCTGGTCAGTGTCAGAAAAAAGTAGGGTGGGGGGCCTACCCAAGCTAAGGTGTAAGGAATTGTGCCGACAGATGAACGGCCGCAGGGTGATATGTGGTCACGAACGATCCCTTTGGGGAACTGGGCGAAACTTCATTGTAATCAGCCTACCTCTGGCAATGCGGGGCTCTGTCAGAGGTGACCAACTCTTCCCTTGCTACTCGTGGAAACACACATGAATGAAACAACACAAAAACAGAAACAACAAAAACTAATCCCGAGGCTGGACAGAAGTGCTCACCTCAATCTAAGGTGGTGGATGGGGATGAACAGAAAAATCCACCCCAATTTACCGCTTGGAATGAGGCTGGACACAGCAGATCACCTCCACTTCACTTCACTTCCTTCGGCGGGCGCCAAGAGCTCCGCCTTGAATAAAGACCAGAAACCGGCTGCCCCTGCAGGAAAGCTCCCTCACTTGTGCACCTCCACGGAGGGAACCCCAAGAAGGTTGAAGAAGCTGCGCAACAACAGATACCAGAAGGCCTCTCGTCCACTGAGAGCGGAAAGCTACGATCCAAACACATGGATCGGTTGGGAACCGCGCCCACTTGGCCCGTATCGTTCGTCAGTTTTCATCCGACTAGGTGCGAATTGCGAACTGGTTCCGTTTTGTTGGGATTTGATTGCGATCTAGTGTGAAAATAGTTTAAAAAATGTATTGAAATGTGTCGTTTCTCATTCGAAAATAAGGAAAGTGGTGGTCATCGTCGATTTGAAGATCATGCCACAAATAAGAAAATTCAACGAACTCCTTTCATTTTGCGTAAATGGGATTCACCCACATTTCCCGCCTTCGCCGATATCGCCTGTGCCTGATACGACGATGAATCAAAAATGATAATTCCTAAGCGATAAATTCTTCATCAGAATAATCAAAATACCCGTTCCAAAAAACTATCTCGCCTACTACGAATCCGGACGAATAGTGAGCAATAGACGATGTGCATCGCACGATTTCATACGAACGCCGTTCGCCCGAATTCGTTGCTTCTCAGTTCGCAACTTTCCGCTCCTAGTGGACGAGATGCCTTTTCAGATAGGTATATGGCGATTCGACAACAACAACAACAATTTAATTCAAAACTGATACTGATCATCACCACAGAGTTAGAATGACGTTTTCCAGGCACTAAAACGACGCACTGAAAAATATTACTCGTATGATTGTTTGGAGGTGATTATTACGATTCAGATATTACCGACCTATCTCGTATACTCATCAAATAGTCGGAATGAACATCCACCTCATGAGTAGTTAGTTATCTGAATAAAATGATGATTTCTTTTCAATTTGTGAAGTTATATTGAAGTGATTTATTTTGTAAACTGATTGTGGCATATCTAGGGAATAACGAGAAACAACAAAGTGAACCTACGAAAAAAAAAACCGAAATTTCGTAGAATGTATCGTAAAATCTTAACACATGTTTCGCTATATACTAAACTAATATAACAGTTGCATTAATCGAATTCCAGTAAATTTACAAATGTGAACCGGATTGGAGATATTAAGAAATCACTATGTACTTTCTCATACTTACTTTCCTTTCTTCCTTCAAGTCTTTCACTAGCGCAGTCAATTCTTTTATCACATTAGCTTGAAGATCTTCCGCTACGATTTCATGTTGGCCAGCAAGGTCATTAATTTCGTTCATCAGAGCTTTGAATGCCCTACATGAAGTGTACCTAAAATTGAAAAAATAAAATAAATATAAGAGTGAACGTTGTAATCAACTTATAATATTACAACTTCAAAGAAACCATTAAGTTACAAGGGGTCACAAATATTCAGAGTTCAACAAAATATTTCTCCGATTATACAAAATGGATTTTTGGATGTCTCAACATTTATGTTCTGAGCAAGTAATTACACAAAAAAAGATTCAGTATTCATTCAGTATTCTGCTCTAAAGTACCTACAAAAAAATTATGTCTATATCGACACAACTAAGAGTGAATTTCTTTTATTATATATCTTGGATGGTTTGTGAGAAAAATAAATTAACAGATCGATTATGATTTCTGCTTCGTACATCTACTTATTGGGACTTGCCATTGTTTGAAATTTCACATTGAAAAGTGAATTTGAATGTTCACAATATTTTACGAACTCCCTCATGTTTTTCAATTTTCCTCAGGGAGTGAAATACTACCTGGGCTGAAAATTCTCGGGACTAACATACAGATGGCGCTAGTGTTATTGCATTCACCGTTAGTACTAACCTCTAAAAGAAAATTGTTGAAATTTCATGATATGAAGAGTAACACTATTATTGTTATTTTCACAATGGATCAAAAACAATTTCGTGTTTTAATTTCACACTGCTTCTTGATGGGAAGAAATACCTTTCAAGCGAAGCAATAGCTTGAAAAGCATTATAAGGACTCTGCTCCTTGAATTATCGAAAAGTGAAGTTGCTTGAGTTGACATTGTAAAGATATCAAAATAACGTGTTGACTTTATATTGCCTGATTATTTGACTATGAGAAAGCTCTGAGCTAAGTGGGTGCTGCGCGAGCTCACAATTGAACAAAAACAAAAAGGTCTTAATGACTCTAAATTTTGTTTGGCTATATTTGAACATAACAAAACGGAATTTTTGCATCGATATGTGATACCTAATTCGATTGAAAACTGTCTCAATTCACCATCTGGTTAACCTTTTTGAAATAGACACTGAAGACGTTAAGTTTGACTGGGAAGTAAATAGTGCTTCAATCAACTGTCGAAGAGTATAGTTCACTCAACTCAATCAACGCGTGCTAGCAGCTAAGGAAAATAAAATATACATCACAATAATACTAATAGTCGAATTCCAGGTGTATCTCAGAAACGAAGCAACTCCGGACATATGTTCATAGGAACTTTTATTCTTAAAACGACGTAACGAATCACCCCCTGAAGTTTCGTACCGTAGTTCGAAAATACCCTGTATATTCAATATAATTTCCGTTGATATACATTACAGTTGGTAGTCCACTACTTTAGAGTAAGCTGAATTTTTGGAAAGTTGAAATTGTCAAAAACAAAACAAAAAAAATAAAAAATTTCTTGATACTTATTGTGTACAAAATAACTGGCACAATATTTAATTTATACAGGTTGAACTACACATACAGTGGCACACGGAAATTATTTCATTTGAAGTTCAATGAGACCTTTTGTATATTTTGATTTACATCAAATAATGATTATATTGTAACGAATTAATGAATTAACTGTCTTAATCAAATTTATTTTTAACAATATTTCACTATCACAACTAATTTATATACAACACTTAGTAACTAACGTTTAATTCATCTTCACAATTAGATTCCTTTCTTTAAACGCACGATTCACTTTCTAAGTACAGACTACTCCTCGGGACGGAGAGCGACCTTTTTATATCGTCAATGAACGTTCCGGATTTCTTTGCAAATTTCGGGACCCATCCACACCTTTCCCGCTGTTTCACGATCAGACATGCGTTTGCTGACTGGGACATCGGTAGGGCCGGCTTCAGATTCATTACAATATTAACAGAGGAACAAGTATATGCTATGTAGGGTATCAACAAGTTTTACTGTGATGAAATATAAAAATAAAACATTTTTCCACATCACCCTGTATTTTGAGACTATCATTGTTGAGATACCAGTTTTGTATATTGTCCAAATCATGTGTATGCAGATGTAATACCCAATCATTAACTTTTGCTATGAGTATTTTTCCGAGTTGAGAATTTAAAATGAGAATATGTAGTTTTTTCACTTATTTAAAATAATATATAGTTGATGAAGAAAAATGGTATTCAACAACTAGCAATATATAATTTCAAAATTATTTTCTGCAAGAACGAATACTTCGAATCACCCAATATTTATTATACAAGATGTACCATTAAACATCTTTGGGAATGGTACCCTACGCATTTTGGATTAACCTGAGGAAATTGGATATGATACGGGTATTAAAAAATTTTATGATTAATTTTTGACAGAACAAATACGATTTAAAAAAAATTGACACATCTTGTAGTCAAAACCCTGTAGTTCAAAAACTAGTCAAATAATCAGAAGATCGAGTACTACGATTATACAAACCGGAAATATAGGTAACACTTCATGGGAAGAGTGAAGTAACAGTAAAACACCCTTCAAAAACATTTTATCCACAATATTAAATCGAAAACTCGTTTTCATTCGTTGATTTTACGTCACTGTATATAACTCTTATAAATAATGGAGTACTTCACCAACTTCACCTGCATAATATGTAATGCCCATTAGCCCATTAAAACATCCATGCATTTTTTCTGAAATACAGTTTTCGAATCCATATTCCACACTTATCAGATCATCGTTGATTAGGAGTTTGCGGTTTTTTATAAAACCTAATACATTATCAGAAATTCAGCGCCAAAGCCTCAAGACAATATGTGTATCATTGATTACATACTCTCAGATCAGAGCAAGAATATGAATAATTGTTCAGATATGTGATGGAATTTGCCGATACTTGATAAAAATCCATAGCGTATTCAAGTAACAGTGAGATTTTCACTGAACAGTGTTAGGAATCACACGTTCTTCTGAGGGTTGTCGTTCCTAGTGGCGCGACAGCTGATTAACGGAAAGACAGACACACAGTTTACAAAACTGAAACACGTGTTTTACTTCACAATAGCTTCCTCAGTTCATACAGTGTGAACACGCCTGAGAAAGCTATTGCATAGTGAAAACCGTGTTGCTGTTTTGTAAACTGTTCACTGAAAATCTCACAAAAAAAGTGGTACTTACTCAAATACATCAATTGCTGGATAAAAAGGGAAGTTAATTGAAAATAATTAAATTATTCTTTACAAATTATCGTGAAATATTAGAAAAAAACTCGACCCTTTGCTTTCGAGAATTTAACTATCTGGAATGACAATAATTTCTGTTCAATCATATGGTGATTCTATTTCATTATACAGACTGTTATGTAATAAGTGTCCGATATTTTACAGGACGATTCCTCAGTTATTTATGAGATAAAAAAATCAAATAAGCATGGGTCCGCAAGGCCTTCATTTTTCAGATACAGAGTGTTGAATATTTATTTTCATTTTGGTTTTTCGTGAATAAATTTCAAAATAATGTCGATATTTGGACAAAAATTGATATTTGACGACTTTTTAATATGAGAAATTAAAATTTGGTTTTAGTTTGGCACCTAAATTGTAAGGGGCGCCACCTACCTGTCTTGGTCTATTTTGGGTTGTCACAACTTTGTCGTGCATGCATGTATCACATTTTCTAGAGGAAAAATCTATTCGCTACAAACATCCATTTTTGAGATACTTTGATTTACATTAAACGACGCATGCGTTTGCCAAGAAGTGAAAAATTGATTTTTTCTTTCATCTTGAAACATTTCAATCGGTTATTCTTAATCATCAATAAATAATGGAACACTAAATATAAATCTAATTCAAAATCACAATTAATGTTCGAAATGTCTACCTCCTGCCTGTATGCACGCATCCAATTTTCTCATTGATTCGCGCACTCTTTGGAAAATTTCTGGGATTTCCTGAATTGATTTGCAAGAGTTTATTATTCGATTTATTAATTCTTCTTTATTTTGGATAGGTGTCTGGTAAGTTGAAGATTTTGGATGTCCCCATAGGAAAATATCCAAACTATCCAAAACCGCCGTGTTGGTAGGTGGTTCAAGCCCCAGGCTGAACGATCGATTTTTCACTTGCTATCGTCCAACCCGTGTTAGGAATAAAAGGTAAGACCTCGTTAGTCCTTAGCTCACATAAGTTGCAACTTCTGACGGTTGTCGTTCGCAGGGGTGCGACAGCTGGTTAACGGAAAAACAGATTTAAACAGATTAAGGTCTGTCCGATGACCTAGGGGCCATGGTTGGGGCCTTTCCAACGTTAGCCGAAACTTTGATCCAAAAATTATCGCACTTGTATGCTAAGGAAAATGACGATATCTATCTTCGTTTAATTTTCCCGAAATAAAGAATGGGTCTATAATTTAATCTTCAAATATTCCTGCCCACACGTTGAGAAATGTCGATTCCTGTATCGCATGGGGGTTTTCATGTCAGCGCTATTTTTTCGTAAGTGAAATGTATATCAGCATTCTCTGCATTGGTAAAATTTATCATTTTCAAACAAATAATCACTCTAATAACAAACAACTATTCAATTATTGCGTCAAGATATTATTTTTGATATGATAGCACAACAACAAACATTGGAATAAACTTACTAGCCAACTTGATACTTTTATTTTTAAAGAGTTCGCGAATCAATGAGAAGGAGAAGAATTAATTCAAATTAAAATATCTCGAAAACGGATGCTTGCAGCAACTTTTGACAAGCATAGCTTTTTCACATTAAAATAATAGAGGAATAGATTTTTCTTGTAGAAAATGTGACACATACACGCACAACAAAAATGTGACCCCCAAAAGAAACCTGTAAGTGGCGCCCCCTACAATTAAAGTACCAAACTAAAACCAAATTTGAATTGATCATATCAAATACTAATTTTTGTCCAAATATCAACATCATTTTAAAATTCATTCACGAAACACATTATCAAAAAAAATCTGTTTAAAATTTGTTTTTCCGTTAACCAGCTGTCGCACCCCTACGAACGACAACCCTCAGAAGTTGAAACTTGTGCGTGCTAAGGATTAA